GCAAAGCAGTATTGGAAAATGTTGAAAGGGTTATCTGGTAATACCGTTAATTCAATGTCACCTTCAACTGAACATTTCGCCAGATATTTTAAAGCCATTAATAACCCGGAAAATACTTTTTACCAGGTAGGTGAAGATATGTTATTCTTTTAACGATAGATATTTAAATGGGGAACTTCAAGTAATGTTTTCTGAATAAGATGCAGAGATAAGTAACTTAGAAATTGTAAAAGCAGTTAAACAGCTTAAGAACAGTGCTAGTGGAGGACCCGATCTATTACTCAATGAATTTTTTAAGCATGGTATAGACATATTACTACCGTATTTATTCCAATAATTAATAAATGTTTAAATATGGGTTATTTTCCAAGTGCATGGAGCGACGGTTTTATTGTGCCAATTTTTAAAAGTGATGACTTAAGGGAGCCAAGTAATTATAGAGGTATTACCCTATTAAGTGTGTTAGGTAAACTGTTCACTAGAATTTTGAATAACAGGTTGAATGCATGGGCCGAAAATTATAATGTTTATATAGAGGCACAGGCCGGTTTTCGAAAAAATATCAGTACAGTAGATACTATTTTTGTTTTAAGCAGCCTTATATCTTATACGTTAAACAATAAAGAAAAACTTGTTTGTGCATTTGTTGATTTTCAAAAGGCCTTTGATTTTGTGGTAAGAGATATTTTGTGGTTCAAACTTATTAAATTAGGAATAAGAGGGAACATTTTAAATGTGATTAAGTCAATGTATGAGTGTGTAAAATCACAAGTTAAAGTTTTTAACTCTTTAAGTGAAGTTTTTGAGTGTCATTTAGGGGTCCGTCAAGGTGAATGTCTATCACCTTTCCTTTTTAGCATGTTTTTAAACGATATAGAAGATATATTTATAAATAAAGGTATAGAAGGCATTGATATAGGTACCATGAAACTATGTTTACTATTGTATGCGGATGACATTGTATTATTTTCTCATTCTGCCGATGGCTTACAGAATTCATTAAATGTGTTACAAGAATATTGTACTAAATGGAAGCTTACTGTCAATACTAAGAAAACAAAAATTATGATTTTTAGAAAAGCTGGACGTCTTCCTGAAAATTTAGTATTCACTTAAAATGATGAAAATATAGAAATTGTTAGCAAGTTTAAATATCTGGGTGTTATATTTACGACAGGAGGTGTTTTTAATGAAATGGACAAAATGTTAGCAGGCCAAGCTTTGTAAGCAACTTTTCAACTTGAATTTGTATAAGTTTACACCAATCACACCTAAACATATGTTAAATTTGTATGATAAATTAGTCACGCCTGTAATGAATTATTGTTCTGAAGTATGGGGATTTCACAAAGCTACTCATATAGAAAGAGCGCATCTTAGTTTTTGCAAAAGATAATTAGGTGTTAAAATAAGTTGTCAAAATGCATTTGTTAATGGTGAAACCGGAAGAGTCTCTTATATTACTCATAGATATTTACATATAATACGGTACTGGTTAAAGTTATGTCAAAGTGATGATGTTAAATATGCAAAGAAAATGTACAATGTTTTAAAAAGTGATCTTGAATCACATCCTAATCATATAAGTTGGGTATACAATGTAAAAAGGTTATTATCTAGATTAGGATTTTATGATGTTTGGTTAAACCAAGGAGTTGGTGATGTCAATATATTTTTGAATATTTTAAAGACACGATTGTACGATATATACCAACAGGACTGGAATGCAAGTTTACAGGAATCATCAAGAGCATTATTTTACAGAACAATTTCTAGTTTTAATTTTCAGAATTACTTAAATGTTTTAAATGTAGAAAAACATAGAAAGTCAATGTCTAGATTGAGAATGTCATCCCATAGGTTAGAAATTGAAACAGGTAGATGGAGAAAACCTATAAGCACACCAATTGAACAAAGAAAATGTAAATTTTGCAATGTACTAGAGGATGAATTTCATTTTATTATTGAGTGTACACTTTACGCTGATCTCAGGCGTCAGTATATAAATAGAAATTACTGGGTTCATCCAAATTATATAAAATTTGTAGAGTTGATTGATACCCCAAATGTAGCCGACATAAAAAGTTAGCAGCTTATATTTACTATGCATTTGAAAAAGGAACATTGCTGCTATCAACAATTTAGTTATATGTTTAAATGTTAAAAAAGAAATGCACACATGTGGTTATAATATTATACTAACTATGTTTACATGTTCTCTATAAATAGATGCTTGTCTCTCCCTACATGTATGTTAGTATAGAAATGAAATGTAGATATAAATCTGTCATTGATTTATGATTACCTACATGTATATCCAGTACAATATTGTTAACACCTATATAATTACATATTGTTTTCAACATTGAATGTATATATTGCTGCATGTACATGGGCCATAAATGACTTACTACTTAATAAAGATATATATATATATATATATATATATATATATATATATATATATATATATATAATTTTTGTGATGGTGGATGAGCAGTGGCTATGCTTTCATGACTGTTCTGCTAGGCGCTGTGCCGTAATTGGACTGGCATATCGATGTGGTGGTATGTGTGTATATATTCTCTCATTTCTATCAATTTATCTGCACACTTGTATCTTAAGTGATCCCACGCAGGGGAAGTATAACTGTATTGAATTTAATTATCTCCCTTTATATATACTTTATCTGTCTAAATTCAGTGTATCCTACGGATCTACTTGATCTTACGGGATCCAGTTGACTTTCGGAAATAGATATATAGTTCTCTGGTCCCAATCAGTGAAGAAGACAATAAAAATGTCATCGTTGATTTGTGAGATATGATAACAGAGAACAAACTCTATATATGTGAATGTTGAGATGGTTTCAAGGTGTAGTGCAGTTTGTGACTGTATATAAAGCTGTTCTGAAACCATCATTTTTGTGATGGTGGATGAGCAGTGGCTATGCTTTCATGACTGTTCTGCTAGGCGCTGTGCCGTAATTGGACTGGCACAACACACCGATATACATCAACACATATGGATCTGTTACCATGCAAACTTCATCTTCCTACTGTTGCCAAATTTTAACTCAAGGGCTATAATTTGAATAATTTTTGTTGAGGTTCATCTACGTTTTAAGTTTAATATTGTAAAATAAGCTCTTGCAGTTGTCAAGGAGATTATTGAAGTATTAACTATATAAGAATAGCTGTTTTTGACCCAAGGGCTCTTGAAGTTTGAATGAAGAAGTTGTTTTAAAGCTTTTTTATATAAATAAGAAAAACCTGTTTCCCCGGTAGGGGCAAATTTTAACCCAAGGTTTTTTTTAACATTTTTTGTAGAGGTCCACCAGATAATGTTTTATACCAAATATCTAAGCTGAAGCATTTAAATTATAACAAAAGATGGTTCTCTTTTTTGCTATTACTATATACAAATAAGAAAAATCAGTGACCCCTGGAGCGGGGCCAATTTTGACCGAAACACCAACTAGAAAACATTTCATGTTTAATTTCTAAGCTCTAGTTTTTTTGAGAAGAATTTTTAGTGGTTTAAGAGGAGATGTTGTTAAAATAAAAGTTTACATTTGGGAAGTTTACGGCCAGACGCCCGGCGGATGGACATGAAACGAATTGAATTACGATCACTAAAGCTCACCTTGTAACTTTGTGACAGGTGTGCTAAAAATTATGACAAATGTTAAGTTTGTGGACAGCAAAAGCAATGGGAATAACACCCTGACTGTAGCAAATAACTCAATTTTAATCTTTTAAAATGTCAAGCTGATAACTACATACTTGTTTATCAATGGATACTTTGCTATTAGAAAATATGTCTTTTTAACATGTAGTGAGCAATGAGATTGCAGGGATGACTTGACATATACATTTTTGAACTTACTACAATGATACAACATAACTCTATTTTTTGGAGAAATCTTTCCTTTGAAACAGTTGTTTTCCTCCAAGCAATGGTAGTTTTAAAAATTGAATAAAAAGTAACCATTTCAATTGAAAGCACAGTGACAAGCTGAATAGAAAGCAAGCAACTGGAATTACACATGAAATATCACATAATAATCTAACTTATTTTGTGCAATTATTTTTCTGCAAGGGTTTAATTATATTACTCAATGTAATGATAACTATACTTACAAACATTACGGAAAGAGTTATATAAATAAACAATACATCATATAATGAATGAGAACAGTGTTAACATATTATAGTGCAAGTGTTCACGGACACTGTCAAGGTCATCTGACCATTTTCCATATTTACTGTAAAGAAAAGACCTTAGGAGACTTTCAGTACGTTATTTCAGGTACACGGGCACACTTGTGTAATGAGAAAACCCACATACATTTAATCTAGCTGGACAGCATGCCAAATTGAAGAAGCCAAGGCACTTTGCAGCTTTGTGCAAGTGATTTGAAGTCAGTAACTTAAACCAGTCCGTCAAGGAAGCACCATTTATGTGTAGAGCAGTGTTACAACACCACTTGATGTTGTAGAAATGCTTAACCAAAATAACATGCTGAAGACACATGAACAATATAACACAAACTCATTGATCTATTCAATTTGCTTTTGAACTTTCTCATTGGCTCTTGAAATAGACATATTTAGTTTTTAATGTTAATCAAGGACAGTTCTGGACTGGTAATATTATAGTCATAGGTAGGACCAAGTACAGATTAAGGTAGAGATTATTTTTTTTCAAAGACATTTGCTGCATATCCAGTTCATCACCGTTGTCCCATATATTTATAACAATTTTCAAGACATATTATGTAAACAACTTTATTTCAATTTTTTTACAATTTATCAAATATATAGAAAACTATGATTGTCTTATCAAAATTATTATAAGTAATCTAACATTACCAATATCACAGATATAACAATTTTCATAATAATACTACTACAATCATCAGCAATAATCAAAAAGGTCCTTTGATATCAAAGCTTAAATAATGTCCTCATATACCAAAAATGCCCTTCCCCACCCCAAAAACAACTAAGTTTTGGTAAAAATTCATGATTTTTAAAGAATTTACATTGGAGGTTAATGTCATGTAGGCGTTAATGTCATATTTCAAAATGAAACTCATAATTACAACGAGGTATTCAGTGTTCAGAAAAGTATTGTAAGGGTTATGTGGTACAAAATTAAAATGTACAACTACACTTCATAATTGTAAACTTAAAATGCCATAAGGTATGTTGTTCCTGAGTTTCAAATATGTTGTCTTTTGTGATAGTTAAATAACTAAAGGAAAAATAGTATATATGTAATATAACGCTATATATGTAATATAACGCTATTTTGATAACCACTGACTCATTTACTGTCAAATTTTTTCCCTAATTAACCACATACAATTTCCAAATGATTCAATTTAAACAACAAAAAGATATCTAGAAAGTTAATTCGAATCTGTGTTACAAGTGATCAAAGTAAACACAAATTTGGTTTATTTTTTTAACTCAAAATTTTACATATAATCATATAAACATCATCTGGATTTACACGTATACTTAGTTTAGAATCTGGCTTCAAAGTTCCTAAATCTGTTCCTTCAAATACTTCTGTCACTTGATAGCCTCTAGCGTCTGCCATGCCTAAATCACTGGCTACAGAAACTAATGGTGTCCCGCTACCGTAGTTATTTGAATTGAAGAAAGCTATAGCTAGACTTCCTGTAGGTACTATAGGTTTAACCCACAGCTGAAGTCCGTTAAACTGAAAGAGTACATAGAATGAATAAATAAATTGAATTCTATATACTATTGTAAAAACATTAAAAATCTTATCTTGTAAAAGTCAAGTTTTATGCAAACATGCCATTGACAACACAATTATTGTATCTAATACTCCAAAGGTTTGTTTTCATTTGAAATGGTTACCAAAAGTGTATCACAACGTATATTTCACCTATAAATCACAGGCAAACAAATTTATATCAATATAGACCACCTTTAAGATATACAAGTAAAGTTATACTACTAGGATGAAATGATTCTAGGCAAGTAGACAACAGAAAATACAGAGCTGAACATTACAGAAGTGACCTATACCCACACATCTATATGACACTTGATTTTATGTAGGTCCATTTATCTTTTTTTTAAGATAAAAATTTGAGCTAAATTAAAATAAAGTCCTAGATCTACAAGATAGTGTGTCTGTCATTTAATGTTCAAGGATGACCTTGACTTTGAACCTGCACAGCAGCAGCATGGATTGCACAAACCAACTAGTTTGTGCCAAGTTTGAAGATAATTCAAGTGTGAAGGTATAAAGAACTGACAGGGAATTATTTGACATTTGTCTTCATGTATGACATTGACCTTAACCCAACACAAGGGTGGCATTGATTCTGCATATCATTTTGTTAAGGTGAACATCTGAACTAACTCATATGAAGATCCCTCTTGGCATACAGGACTTACAGGATTAATAGAATGGACACAACATTATCTGATATTTGACCTTTAAAACTGACCTTGACTTTGAGCAAGCATAGCTGAAGTATGGATTCTACACATTGACTTTTTGATGTGAATATTAAATTTTGTACCTAATAAAAAGCCCCAGTTTGAAGAGAATCCTCCAATGTGTATATATCTTGAGCTGACACAATGCAGACAGACAGACTGACAAAACAAAATGATTCCAGTATAGCCCTCTCCACATTATGTTTTGAGGGCATAATGAAAAAAAAATGCTGAACATAATTATATCTCTGTGATTCTTATTCTTTTGCTGTGATCCAAATAACTTTAATAAATCCTAAATGATAATTTATCTCTATGCTCAAATATTGATATAAATGTAATGTAAAAAACCCCATCAAAATGATATTACCTCCCAAAGTTTGGTTGCCATAGTACCAAGTGGATCCTGATCAACACTTATGATATATTTGTTTAGTAGTAATTGTTTGGCTTCAGCTGGTATGCTTCTTAAGTCATTTGACATGATCAATGGAGCAGAGAACATTGCCCACATAGCCATCTGTGCTCTCTGTTGATAATGACTCATTCCAAAACCACCAACCAACACCTGCAGGGGGAGGCAATATCAATTAAAAGTGGAAGAAAAAATCAACAACAACAATTTGGCAATAATTATATGGCATAAAAATTATCACTACAAATAATTACTACAATTAGGTTTTACAGCCAAGACAGTCAAATTATCATGGAATTTTTATGTTGAGCAGTTTAAGAATGTATTTAAGGTACTTTCTTGACTTAAGGTAAAATATCCTAAAACCTTTATTTTAAGTAGATTAAGTATATATTCATGGTAATTTTTTGAATTACGGTAAGTTTAAATTTATCATCAGAAAAACTTCCATAATTGAATGAGACATGGACAGTTAATTAAATGTGCCGAGTACATGTGAATCAGCTAAGTATTATAAATATAATGTAGTAAAATTCTATAATATACATGTATTTCTTCAAAATACAAAATATTTTTCAAAAGGAAAGAGATAATTGCATAAATACGTCAGATGTTTAGAAGCCAGTTGTAAGTTAAAACAACTTTAAAATAACACTTTAGAGTTTAAGCTTTTCTTTATTTGTACAAGAAACAATCTCTATGCATGTATAGTAAAACTGACAACAGGTGGCCTTTGTCTAATAAAAAAAACATCTATGTTGCTTTCATTTTTTTCTAAAACAGATTCAGAACATGTAAGAACACAAATACACATTTTTCATTATTCTGTACTTAAAATCTCTGAAACATATCATTCCATATAAAATTTTTCCTTAGTTAAATAAGCTTACATTTTTCTATTTCAATTAACTTATATTAAATCATTACCTGATCTGGATCAAAGAATCCCCCTGGACCCGAGTATTTCTGGAACAGTGCATTATTCTTGCCATAGAATCCCACAATACTCTTTACACTGTTAAAATCATCACTGACATCCCAGAAATTCCTCCATGTGTTACATGATGTTCTTACAGCACTATAATCTGTTTGTATCTGTCAATAAAACAACATTTACTTATATATTCATTTAAAATATTCAAATCCTCATAGGTAGGAAGATGAATCTAAAGATAAATCATTATTAACAATGTAGCAAGACAACACAGTGGCAAGACATGTTTTATCATAATTTTGAATCCCCAAGAAACATTTTGAATCCATGAACATTCAACACTTACTTCCCAATACATTTAAACTACTCATGAAATTTAACATTAAACATTATAGTTAATAGAGGAAATAAAAAGTCAGACAGGGGAGGTAAATCTACAATGTTTATATGAATAGTTGATATGGCATTACCTCCCTTTTGTCAGCAAATATGAATTTTGTATGTTGAAAGATTAGATTTTCAAGCACTATTTTTTTATAAAAAAAGATTTTCAAGCACTATTTTTTTATTTTTCTATTTGGTTAGTGAGAATATCTAATTCATGTAATTTTCATCATCTATCAAATGCATTGTGATCAATGAGCAAAGTATCATAGTGATATAGAGAACATTAAAATATCAGTACAAAGCAAGGGTAAATTATACTTGCCAGACTCAATGTTTGCAGTTATCAAATAATTATAGAAGGTTAATGCACATTTTTTCATGAATTAACATCTGCAGAGGTAAGATGAGCATTTTAAGCCCTAGCCTGCAAAACGAGAGATTTATCAAGTCTACATGTTAATGCACTTTTTCTACTCCGAATACTTGTGTGAACAGTTTTTATGCAAGAATAAGTCTTTATAAATTTTCTTCTACAACATTTGAGCAAATAAACAAAAGCTGTCAAATGGACAATTTGTTTCCCATGGAAAATCAATGAAAAATCCTGTTTAAGTTATAGTGCATGGATTGTGGCCTAAATTGATGCCTGATGAGGTTAGTAAGTTTACATCTGAATTTTTACACTATTTGTGGAGATAGCAATTGCATTCAAAACTGTAACTATGTGATTTTGAAGCTTGCTAAGGGGAATAATTCAGAAAATATATCAAGGCTTAGGCTATGAGTCTTGGATAGTGACCTACAATTTATGATATGAAAGACAAGACAGTAGTTCCAATTGAATACCTTCATAGTTTAATAAGATGAGAATATGCATGCAAAACAATAAGTTTGTTTGTTTGGGTTTTACGTCACACTGACACAGTATAGGTAATATGGCGACAATCCAGCTTTACTGGTGGAGGAAGACCTCAGGTGCCCTTCAGTGCCTTATTTCAGGCACCTGAGTAGAACCACCGACGTTCTGTAAGCTAGCTGGATAGCTTCCTCACATGAAAGAATCCAAAGTCCCTGTCGGGATTCAAACCCACAGCTGTGAGGGGTAAGTGGTGTGAAGTCAACGACCTTAACCACTCGGCCAAGGACGCCCCCAAAACAATAAGAAAGTAAGAAAGTATTACTTAAAAGCAAGCTTCAATACCAGTGTGAGTAAATAAGGACCAATTTCCATCAAAAGTAGAGCTAACATAAGAGCACCACATGCATTGTTAAGGCGTAAGCCTTAAATGTTATCAGCAATGACTATCAATAAGAAATTTCTAAGTTAAAAAGGGGCATAACTACAAAAATATAGCTTTCAGAATTATGCTCCTATGTCTAACAATTGCACCTGGTAATCATTAGCAAGAATTTCAAGTTTCATGATGATAACATTAAAATGTTTGTATAATTGGCTACATTTAAGGTTTTTGCACAACAAAGACAGTGACAAAGATGACATCAATGCACAATGACCATAATAGTTCAACGTTGTTTTTTTAAAATAAAGCTTAAAATGAAATGCTCTACTTAGTGGAATTCTCTCATTTATAAAATGAGTTACTTAACTTTAGAAATAGCTACATATAGTAAATAGGGATTTAAATTGAATAATGAGCACACATAATTGTGTTTATTTCAGTTCAAGTGTAATGTTTATCCTCCGAAGTATGTTTGCTATTTTATCAATGTTAATACTTACTGAAGCATTGAGCTGTAACTCTCCATATGGCCACTCACATGAATATAAAATTTTACGATTGGTCTGATTCAAGTACATTGACATTGCTGGGTATCCTAAAATACAAAATATTCAAGGTTAATGACAAAATCCTAAGAAAAAAAAATGGTTTTGCCGCACACAAGTGATATAAGCATGTTATACGGCCGATTAAGATGAGGAAAAAACTTCAGTTAATAAAATATTTTTGAAATAAAATTCTTAAATTATTTTCTGCAAAAAACATACTGAACTTGCTCTGTCTCCTACTCTATAAATTTGTAAGCTAAATCCTCCAAACTAAAAGACTGCATTTTATTTCAAACCAGGATAATATGGTATATTACCTACATGAGTGCATCATCAGTAATAAAGAGGGCTAGTGCTGGTTTTGAAGCTACTACTTTACCAAAATGAACACACCAGTCAACAACTATTTTCAACCACTAGGCAATGCAAGCATGACAGATATTACAAGTATCCCTCATTAAACCCTTATCATGGTAAATATCTTAAATGAACATGTCCACATTTCAATCTAGACAAAATCATATTTATAGGGCAAATTTCAAAATATTTACTGGTTAGATATATATCAAATAGTGTAGACAATGATCACACAGTATGTACATGCCAGCAGATCTTTGTCTGCACTTGTCACATAGGTTGAAAATGTTGTCACAAGCAGGCTAAAGGTTAAAGCAGATTCATGCAAATTTTCATGAAAATTTTGAAAATGTATTTAAAAGAAAATCATTGTGATTTGAACAAAGATATTGATTTACACATCACAAACAGTGCTTATAGTCCATGTAAATTACTAACAAGAAACATGGCAATGCCATGAAACCAGGTTTTCAATTATCACCATTGTAGATAAATATGTTGTATTTGAAATACAAATACAAGCAACAAACAATGTAACTATGTGCAATGTAAAACATGAATAATGTAGGAGGAATTGCCACTGAAGAAGTGTTCACTATAATATTATGTATAAGGAAAAAAACAAAGGGCCATAATTAGGTCAAAAACTATCCAATCACAAAACCCCGACAATATGTGCCAGGGTGCTTGATGACAAAGCTTCTGTGAAAGTTTGAACAAAATCCGTTGAGAAATGTAGGACGAGTTCAGCACAGAAGAATTTGTTCACTATAATTATATTGATAATTCTGTATAATGAAAAACAAGTTACAAAGTAGACATGAAATAATATATCATATCTTTTTTAAATTACCTCCAAAGATGATATGACCTTTGACTGCCAAATCAAGTTAAAATCATGTAAACAGGATTTTCAATGTTAATGTCACTGTGACCTTGACCTTGGAGCCAGCCATGCGGAACATGCGTTCTGCACGTCATCTTGATGTGGTAAACATTTGTCTGAAGTTTCATCAAAATTCTTCAAAGGGTTGAAGAGTTACAGAGCGGACAGGATTTTCAATGTTAATGTCACTGTGACCTTGACCTTGGAGCCAGCCATGCGGAACATGCGTTCTGCACGTCATCTTGATGTGGTAAACATTTGTCTGAAGTTTCATCAAAATTCTTCAAAGGGTTGAAGAGTTACAGAGCGGACAGGATTTTCAATGTTAATGTCACTGTGACCTTGACCTTGGAGCCAGCCATGCGGAACATGCGTTCTGCACGTCATCTTGATGTGGTAAACATTTGTCTGAAGTTTCATCAAAATTCTTCAAAGGGTTGAAGAGTTACAGAGCGGACACAATTTCGTTTGACGCCCGCCCGCCCATCTGCCCAGCCGCCCATCCGCCCATCCGCCCGCCATACCCCAATCTAATAACCAGGATTTTCAAAATTGAAAACCTGGTTAAAAAGGGGTCAAAATATGCAAGTGAGCCCTTAATGCATTTAGTAATGCTGTAGAAATATGGTGAGGAATACTTCAGTCATGCACATAAAATGTTACTTATTACTTGAATATTGAATCTGTTTCTTTTCATAAAAACTTTTTCCACAAATTTGATTTTCTTCAAATATTTTGGCTCATCTGGAGGCATGCTGCTTTAACAGTGCATGTATATGTATACCTTATCTAATGTAAGTATTACCATATTTATTTTCACGTGCATCAGAGTGACAAGTATCAAACTTTAGAAGATCTATGCCCCATTCAGCAAATGTTTTAGCATCTAATTCCATGTAGAATTCACTTCCAGGAAATCCTGCACATGTTTTGGTTCCAAAATCTTCATAAATCCCTAGTTTTAGACCTTTAGAATGCACCTTAAATGAAAATTAATTCATTTTTGTAAAAAAACAAAGGCTAAACATATCAAGGAAATAAAAAAAAGTTTTATATATAAAAGTTTATGTTTTGATGAACATAAGAACAAGTACAATTTGCATATGAAAAGTTAGAATTATATTACATAGCAAGCACTATAAAGACAGATTCAAGCTTACTAATCAAAAGTGATCCAAGTTTTGTTTTATAACATATAGCTAACAAAGCAATTTAACAAACAATTAATAGTGCTCCCTTTGTTATACATTAAAACCTGCACTACTGTCATAATTTATGAAGAAAAATCTAAAAATATATTCTTCTTTAGCCATTTAAAAAGGAACAACAAAAAAGAAAGGAAATAAAAACTATTTTTAAATAGACATGTGAAGATTACAATTAAATACACTAACCCTATGTCTATTTACTCCTAAATACTCACATAGTCAGCTAGATATTTCATGCCGTGTGGGAAACGTTTACGATCTGGTTGAAGTTGGTGAAACACATCTCTCTCCGCAGCTAGCCAGCAATCATCTAGACAAACATACTCATAACCGGCCTCCTTGTAGCCATCCATTGCCATATGGTCAGCCATCTGCATTACTAGTTTCTCACTAATAATCAGAATAAATTGATAACAAAATTTATAATAATTTCCCAAAGCATATTTATTATAGAATTGCCCTAGAATTCAGGTTCATGGAATAAATATATGCTGGGAAAAAAATCAGCAAATATTTTGCAAAGAAGCTGAGAAGAGGTACTTGATTGAACACAGTTGTCTGCAATATACTTGATAATTAAACACAGTTGTCTGCAATATACTTGATAATTAAACACAGTTGTCTGCAATATACTTGATAATTAAACACAGATGTGCGCAATATATTTAAAAGTTTAACACAGATGTTTGCAATATATTTGAAAGTTAAACACAGATGTGTGCAATATATTTGAAAGTTTAACACAGATGTTTGCAATATATTTGAAAGTAAGTTAAACACAGATGTGCGCAATATATTTGAAAGTTTAACACAGATGTTTGCAATATATTTGAAAGTTAAACACAGATGTCTGCAATATTTTTGAAAGTTAAACACAGATGTCTGCTATATATTTTTGAAAGATAAACACAGATGTCTGCAATATTTTTGAAAGTTAAACACAGATGTCTGCAATATATTTGAAAGTTAAACACAGATGTCTGCAATATATTTGAAAGTTAAACACAGATGTCTGCTATATATTTTTGAAAGTTAAACACAGATGTCTGCAATATTTTTGAAAGTTTAACACATGTAGATGTTTGCAATATATTTGAAAGTTAAACACAGATGTCTGCAATATTTTTGAAAGTTAAACACAGTTGTCTGCTATATATTTTATAGTTAAAGACAGATGTCTGCAATATTTTTGATATATGGTAGGAACAAATCATACAGACAAACATGAATTGAGCTACAATTACCACAGCTCAATAAATCAAGAAGATATTAAAAGCATGATCTGGCAGATGAAACACTCTAAAGTCAAGTTAAATTACATTTCTTTTATAAAGATGCTTGGCTGTTTAGATTCTTAAGACTTAAGGATATATAAAATAATCTAAGGTAATATCATACAAATACTAGATTAGAACCAAAGTCATTTGATGAAAACTTTTTTATGCATTATTTGTGATGCTTATTAACTGGACATAATTCAGTAAATCAGAAGGTAATCACAAGTTGATTATCTATCTGCAATTTCAAGTTTGGAAATAGTTCTGTTGGAAGGAAAATGAATAACTTAACGTTTGAAGTCATCTGACAAAAAGTGCCTTAAATAACAGTACCTACTCATGCCACCAAGAAAGTATAATTATCATTTAAATATATTTTACCTGACATTATTACATAGATGTGTTCCTTCTTCACTTACATGTCGGTGAGCCTTTCATTATATTATATAATTCATAATCATTTGAAATATGATTTAAAAAAAAAATATTCTAAGTTTAAAAATTAAAAAAAAAAAATTCTAAATTTACTCAAATAAGACATATGCAGTAAGAATTTCACAGATTTCAATAAATTTCTGTTATTAAAATATTTAACTTAAGGATGAGCATAGTATATCTTTAAATAATAACATTATTAGTAAATTATAACAAATTCCCCACCTAATACAGTAATCTGGGTCCTGCTCACAGTTGGTATTGCAGCTGAATCTAGTCCATGTAAGCCAGCCCATGGGCGGGGTTCTTGCTAAACCATTGTCCAGGGAGAAACACAAAGTAACTAAACCAGACAGCAATAATATCTGTTGTAACCACATTCTGAAAATGTTTACATAAATATTGAAAATTTCTTTCAAACTTATGATTTAACTTGGTTCTATTTTATTATCATAAAGCTTTGCATGTTGTTACAGAGTGTACTTTAAATTTGTTCTGGCTGGGAATAAATATGTTACATTATACAAGCGTAAAAGTGAAAATGTACATGGGTATAATATGCTATAACTAAGGAGATATAGGAGCCTATATATAAAAATTCAACAAACGGATATGATTATAAGACCAACACAATTGATATGGGTATAGCTTCTTGAATAAAGATCTGTTTTAAACACTTATTATCTCATCAATACAGTGTAAGTCTGCAATTATAATCCAGCGATTTATTTTTTAACTTTTGATAAGGGTCCTGGCTAGTCTAATTGGGAAAAACTGCAGGGTGTGAAGCTATGAATTTAAAATTTTAAAAACAAGTAAACATTATATATAATGTTATATTTGTTGTTTACATGATAGATCAATGTCTCATTTTTCATTTGTTTTGAATATTTCAATTATCACCATTATCATACATGTATTACACAGGGGCATTCTAAACTTTAATCAAGTATTTTCGGGGATTCATTACTTGGTGAATATGATATCTCAAGCTTATATATTTGGGATAATAACCTAATGCCTTCTATAAATACTAATTCTTTATTTACAACTGTTTAACTGAATGCCTGAAATCCTGAACATGAGCAATGATGAAATGAACTGCTGACTGATCAACATTTTAAAGTACTAAGTACATTTTAAATTCAAAGTACTTGTAGCAGTTGTGTGTTATTCACAGATTGTCAGAATGTACTTATTATCATAATATTTGCAGTTATCATTTGACTTGTGGACCTCTTAACCAAGGCATGTCTCTAGTGGTACCAAATTGTTGATACTGTTCTCTTCTTAAATTAAGTTCGCCGAACTGGTAGTTCCACGAAACCACCATAATTCGTAGACAATGTCTAGCAATGTATGCAAGTATGACATACAGTAAGTTTTATCAAGTCTAAATGGCTAATTCAATATATCAGATTTTACAGGCTTGTTATAGTTTATGTCAGTCAAGGACTAGTCTATGGCATACAATTTGGCATCTACATGTATCTGTTTCATACAATTTTGAAAAAGCATATCAAAGATATTTCTAAAAGTTATGTTGGTTTTATTGCTTACAGGTATTAACACTATGCTACTGGTTGGGGACCACCAAAAACGGACAACCACCAAACCCGGACAGCCCCGAAAATGCTTAATTTAGTATTTTCTTTGTTCAGTGGTTGTCAGTCACTTTTTTATCAACAATAAGTGCATGTTTCTTTTAAAATTAAGTAAATAAGTTTATATCAACCTCCGTAAATGGTAATATTTTAATGTCTATTTCAAGAATGTTGACGTTGAAATTCGGGGGTCAAAAAAGCAATGCCTGACCTCATATACCAGCTATAATCATTTGCAGAGTGAATAATAGAATATCCAAAACTTCAGCATTTGTTGCTGACATATTGTATATCATATGTTACAAATAAAAAATCAAAACACCCAAGCTTTTATTCTGAATTAAATCACATCATGTACATATCTGTCCGGACACATGGTACTGTAGTGTAGACAATTTAGGTAATTTTGATACCCTCCTTGTCGAACCTCAGATATAAGTGTCAATACAATCAGAAATAAACAAACTAGTTTGTTAGTTAGGAGAAGAACCTGAACTGTGTCAAATTTTTTGGTCTCTAGGTTAAAAATTATGAAATCTGTACGGAAAAATGTTCCAAAAGTGTCCGGTTGATGGTCTCCGACCAGTAGCCTTTTAATTGTTTGATACTCATAAAATAACTTTACATAAAAACTTTACATACAAGAGGCTATTTTTTTATCATGGTCGCGAATTCATATAACAATAATTAAATTTAAAATTTATACCATATGACAAATGGCGTGCATATCAGCAATAAAAATAAACCCCTTTACACTTACTTATTTATATTTGCTTAGAGAAGAAATATATATTTAATTCAGGAAAACTGAAAAACAAAGTAAGCTAAAATGTTTGTTTACCTTACTTCATTGGTATCATGTGACTGTCACGTGAATTTATGCCGGAAATATCCGAACATCTTCGGTAATTTACGGGAATATCAAAGTCCTACAGTGACTGGGTTATATGACAGCAGGATAAATTCATATGCAAAATCTATCAAAAATCGGAAGAGATATGTATTATTTCTCAAAAGAGTTAATTTTCTTTCGGTGGGATAATAAAATGATTATGAGGCCTGCCTATCTAAGTAACCTGAATTCTTTGAATTAAAAATTTTACAATTAAATTTTGCTTTAAATAAAATCGTAAATTTCAAACTAATTACATGTACACTGCAAAATTATTTGCTGTTCGAGTAATAAATTGGAAAATTGAATCCAAAGATTTTTACAAAAACTGGTTACAAAAACGTGTGTGACAATGCCCACGGGACGAGTAGGATAGCAAATTCATGACATCGGTTATTTAAAAACGGTATGTAATAACGAAAACATTATCCAGAATAAAGTAGATCTTTTGAGGCACGCATATATAACCTACATGTAATAGTGTTACAATTTACTAGTGCATTAAAATAAGTGTTATACAGACATTGATTAAACATCACTTATAATATGCCAAAAAATAGTTTTGTTTCTCGATCGTATTGCAGATATATAATTAAAGTCATCGGGCCTATAATTGGTGGAGATTTGGGAAATGCCTCACCAACAAAATGAGGGAGGAGGGGGTATATATTGTAACCATTGTCTGTGTGTGTTTGTTTGTGTTGGAAAAGTATATACTTCAGGCCTAGTCCATATAACTCCTGCGTGATTAATTTGATGAGATTCCAAAATAAATCGGTACAAAAGCCATGACAACCGTAAGTAGCCCCTGTGTCACGTGCAAGACCAAGGTTTATAGCTTACAGTCATAAATGCAATCGTTTTTCTTCTTTTTGTTGGGAATTTGCGTCGCACCAACACAGTTAGGGTCACATGGCGATTATTTCAAACACGAACAGACACATGAGTAGAACCACCGTTGTTCCGTAAGCCTCATGTTAAGGAAACCAAAGGTCAAACTCCCGTGCGGTTTAAATAACTTTTACATCGTCGAAATCTTTGGAAGAAATCTTCACAACAGCCAAACAATTTGCCATGCACATGACCGATGTTTGCACTTTCAAGGTCAAGGTTGCACTTATAATAGAGGTCATTTCTATCCGCTGTTCACTTTGACTAATATAACTTTTGATAGATTTTCACATTTGACAGATGTTTTCACCAGTCAGTGGATGAAGTCATACAGTGCTTACCTCCTGTATGTTTGTATGTACATGTATCTATGTGCATAAAATTGGTCAATCTTATTATTCCTTGATAATTTTCAAATTTATTTGGTAGTTGTCTTCACCAGGGTCGGGGTTGTATCATGTACAACACACAGGCCAAGCTTGTACTTGAAGGTAAAATATATGTGGAGGGAGCACCCGTGTCTTATGGACACATTTCTAGTTATAATTACAACATATTTTTATCATATTATAGTAACTTGTATTGCAATACTGTATGACAAGATATGACAAATTCATGAATATGGACAACTAAACTACATGTAAGTCATATATCAACATATAGATCTATATAACAACCTATAATTGATGTAAAATGTTTTCCAGCAATGTTTTTGAATGAATACGTAAAAAATGATAAGGAAATTGTGTTTCAGCCAAAATATCCCAGCAAAAACGCTGTTATAGTTGCTACTGCTATTGCACCAACATTTAGAACTTTTCCCCATTTAGCATTATGTTCTAATGACGTCAACTTCCGGCGAATCTCTGCTTTCTCTTCCGGTGAAATATACTTCTCCGGATGGTCAGTGGTGCCGCACAACCAGTTTTTGAAATACCGAGAACAATTTGCAATACCTGTAAATGAATTAAATGTAATAAATTGCTAATAAAATAACAAGAACTGAAATACATGAAAAAGCCAATTATCAAGAAAGCTAAAAACGTTTATATAATTGATGGACATGTATAATGATAATGAACAAACAGAGTCACTTAAAACATAATTCAGATCATTCGAACATTGTTTTGCGTAAGTATTTATTAATATTTATTAAATGTTTTTTTTTGTTGTTTCTTGTTTGTTTAAAAAAGAAATTCTTGCAACTTGTGCTTTGTAAATTTGGTACGTTCTGATGTTTCTTAATAATTTCCCACATGATTCTTCGTCTAACATTTTCATTGGTTGAATCAGTGAGGGAAAATATTGTACAAAGTTATGCAAATTTTGTGACAGCCAATAATAGTGCATCCATTGTAGGAATTTAGCAATACTCTTTATTTGAAGAAAACTCATTCAATACTTAAAAAGATATTCATGAAAAATTAATCAGAGTCGGTGCTACTTGTATTTTAAGCTTTTATTCGCGCTGCATTTTCTCTGACAGTCTTGTGGTTTGCCACCCTGAACTACTGGGTTTGTTTTGAAATATGATTCTCATTTTCACAAAATAATCAATTTTTAATTAATGGGTAACTATATAAAAGAGAAAAAAGTAACTATGATTATACCTGATTTCTTTGAAATATCCGGTTCTTCTATTTCCATGGTATTTTGATGCTTCGCTTCCTCCTCTTCCTCGTCATCTGTAAGTTCCGGTTCCGGTATAGCATGACGTGTCCACCACGTGACACGATAAAGCTGGATTTTTAGAAAAATAATTATTACACTTTGTCATGTATTTGCCATTTCGGTTAACAGGTACATTTTGTATTTCACATTTTCTTGTAGACAAGTATACATGTATGTTATCTCTTTCACATTTGATACTTAGGCGCATTTAACTTGAAACACATACATTGTTACGATTATTATAAATCTATATAAAATTTACAAATAAGTAAATCTTTGATTTTACTTTGAAAGTACATTCTTACATAAATGAACCACAATAATTGAAATTCTGTATGAATAAGACACAATTAAGGTTAAATATTTGCATGTCCTACAGTGTTACAATTTTTTACCTTCTTTTCAGGTCTTGGTGTTGTAAATAAACTTATCACAACCATAGCAATTGTGCTCACGCCAGCCAAGATAATTGCAAAATGTAAGAAGTCCACTTTAGCCACAATCGGAAACCTTTTGTCTTCCTCTCCGCTTCCACAGTTTGGAGCAGAAATGGCAAAATCCAAACCCATCCGAATCATACCAACAACTAATCCAACCATTAACCCCCAGAATGCACCCTGCATGATACAAACAAAAACAAAAGCAGAGACGTGATTAGTGAACATTTTAAAGTTTAAGATAAAGCCTTTTTAGACATTTTCCAACATTTTTTCAAAAAAACATATATAAAAAGGAACTCTAAATTCGTTTCCAATTAAATAAACTAATCAAGATTTTCAAAAGTTATTTTACTTTGTGTATTTATAACATTGACACGTTTACCTGTTCTGTCATCCTTTTCCAAAAGAAACCAAGTAAGAAGAGCATACACCAGGGCACCACAAGATACGACTTCACGGCTTGAAGATAGAACCATAAGATACCACCTTGGGACTGTTGAAGAATTGGTAACCATAGAATACTGACGCCAATCAGCACTAGTATTGTTACACGACCAACTATCATTAATTCTGTCTCTTTGGCTTTCTTTCGGAATTGGGTCCATATATCAAGAGTTACGATAGAGCTGGCGCTATTAAAGATGGAAGTAAGCGAGCTCATCAACGCCGCCAATAAAGCCGCCAACATTAGTCCTCGGACGCCTGAAACACGGGGCGAAAGTAGGATCATTGGTAATAAGTACACACTTTATCAGTATGTTTTAATAATATTTGTGATACCATTTATACCTTAGAATAAAAAAATATTAACAACATGGACTCTAAGGCAAATAATGATAAATTAATTCCCAGGATGCATTTTGATTTAGGTAGATACTTTTAAGGTAATAAGGTGACTTTCAAGCCTTACTTCTGGTGACTCATGTTTTGTCATTAATTTTTATATGGTTTCAAAACTTTTGTTCCTATTAACATTTTTGATGGGCAGGTTTTTGTTGGGAAAGGCTTCTGTAAGTATTCAGAAAATGCTTCTGTACAGTGATATTCTTACTATTTTACCATATTTAGATATTATAACTTGATGGATTACTATAAACGATAGATTTGATGGGTAAAATCAGGATATTTACCTGCAGGGAGAAGCCGGAGAACAAGTAATGGATACGCTAAATTACTACACCCAGCCTTGTTGTTACAAAACTTATTACATGCATCTGGGTCAGCGCACGCAATATCATCTGAAGACAATTTATATGTTATACAAATAGCAATAATGCAATATAATGTTTAAAACTAATTTATTGCAAATTGTATATTTAAACCAAGTCTTTTCCTGCGGTAGTGCATGGCAAATATAGTAACTTACATTTGTTAGAATGTGCAATGTAAAAACGTTGAGTTTAACTTAATAAATGTATGGTATGTAAATCGCGCATATAAACAACTTCTTTTTTACTCTTTGATATACAAGATATTCATATATTGTTATTTTTAATATTTTCATTTTTTTAAATGAAATGACATAGGAAAATAGGTTCACCCGTATATAAAATTCTACTGATCATTCCAGGTATAACAAACAGCAGGAAGCCGAACAGTTTGAGGAACGCTGCAAGGAGAGATCCTGCCTTAGCATGACCGAGATTCTTGGCAGACAAACATCGCTGAACAATAACCTGCAAGGTTGTGAATATTCTTAAATACATTGTATTTTTCAATTAGAACTTTTTAATATAATGTTGCAACTCTCAAACGTGTCTATTATATAATAAAAATTCTTATGTTAACACACAGTCTTTAAAATATGTACTGCGAAATATGAAGTTTAATTATATCTATGTGTGGTCTTGATTTTAATATAGCCACCAGCAAAGACGAACCTGATCCTGACACCATGTGAACAGACCAAGTGTTGTCAAACCGAATACCGCCCCTGGCCATGGTATGTCTCCAGTAGTAGGACTCCGCCATATGTGAAACGCATCATCTCGTGGCATCCCACACTGATAAAGCGTCTGGTTAGCTAGAGTATAGTTTGTGGCTGCCTGTGGGTACCTGGTAATTAAACCGTCCCAACCGCCTATCTCTGACAATGCTAGGAAAATATACAATGCATTCTTTAAAAGTAAACAAATGACAAATGGAATAACACATTCCGTTGTGTTGACAACATATCAATATATCAGTGAATAAAACACATTGGTAGTAATTATTGAGAACTGTCACATTGGTAGGCTTAATATATCTGAGGTTTTTCAATTTAAATGCTAATCTTAAAAAATAGTGAATGTTTTAAAAGGCTACAAATAAAACTGTCTTACACATAGATGTTACTACAGTTGCTCCGGCTATCAAAACAACTGTTTGTAGAGTATCTGTATATATTACAGACGCAAGACCACCTGAAACAGAAATATAGCAAATAAATGATAGTTTTCTAATATTTTTCGCTTCAAAACAAAAGATAATCTGAATGTATGCATTTACTAAGAATGACGGTGGAAAGGTACACTCACTGAATCTTTTTTGAAGACTTCTCTCTTTGAATTTAATATGAAACTTAGCAACAAAATGTTCAGATATTTCGTTATAGGACTGTATGAATGTGCAGAAAGACGGAAAGAGATAATAAGCTAAAAACTTGAACACAAATAACTGGTCAAGACCTACATCAATTAGAACACTAATCTAAGAAAAATATGTCTAGTCCTATCATGTCAAAATACCTCAGTGGAGTCCCTATAAATATTACAAAATACATTATCACCTGCTATAGTATAAACTGCAGTAACGGCCAGAATCACAAACACACATAGGTACATATTCCAGCCGAGAAGTTGTTGCATAAATATAGCACCTGAATAAATCTCCGCCTGAAAATGATTGATAGTTTATTCAGTGTGTATAGCAACATGTTCAAATTCATATTTTCTTCAGATACAACAGTGTGCTTCTAAAAACGTAATACTAATGAAATTTTTATGATAGATAAATGTTAATTAAATATTGATGCAGAATTGAGGACCATTTTATTTTCAAATAATAGTGTACCAGCCATCGTTCAAAGGGAGATAGCGGGAAATAAAAATGTACCCCTTGTCTATCCCGTACTGCCGGGGCAAAGTGCATTTACTTTTACTTAACATTTTACAATCTAACTTCTCACAGGGATTCAATAATCTAAAAGTCAAAGTCAATTTTTTGCCCTGGTTGATGAGTCGTACTTACAATTGACTTGCGCACAATACATTTATAAATATTGTAATTAAACATTATGCATTTATTTTATTGATACTCTATTTTACGTCGCAAATTCATGAAACGCTATGAGTGTTTAGTTTATTGCAAAATCTACGTGCACTTATCCATTGAATCGAAACAGTGTGGGTGTGTCTTTTAAGGAGAAGTGAAAATGTGAACAAAAAAAGTGAATTTTAGATACAGCCAATGACAAATTATCTTCAAAAATATAATTGAGAAATATATATTTTGGAGAAATATATATTTTGTTATTGTAAGGTTTCTAGATAACTATATAATTGAACCGCGTCACGACAAAACCAACATAGTGCGTTTGCGACCAGTATGGATCCAGACAAGCCTGCGCATCCGCGCAGTTTAATCAGGGTCAATGCTGTTCGCTTACCAACTCTATTACAAATAGGGAAACTGATAGCGAACAACATTGACCCTGATCAAACTGCGCGGATGCGCAGGCTTGTCTGGATCCATACTGGTCGCAAACGCACTATGTTGGTTTTGTCGTGACGCGGCTCATATTATAAAGATATACCGATATATTATGCAGGATGTACTCGACGAGAGACAGCACGGAAGAATAAAGTCGTATCCGCCTCCCACCAAACCTCTTCCGAAGATACTCCGGCATTGTGTAAGCCTAAATATATATTCAGTCATTTCTATGTTAATATATGAAATACAATGTTTCACGTATAGAATAAAATCCAATATCTTCAATAATGTTAATCAATGGAAAATTGCAGTTTACAAATGGATTATAATCTATACCATTAAATATGTATACTCACGATGCAGTGGCACGCCGAAGGCCAAGGTAGAACATAAGAATACATATATATTCAGCTTTTTATCATATTAAAAACTAAACATAGGACAATTGTGGTTTTATAAATGAGAGTCACTTATTTTTTGTTACTAAACTTACTTTTCAGTACGAAGATTTCATCAAAAGTAGTTGTGTATTTCTAAAATCTCACTTTGGTGAGAGATAGTAAGTATTCATTAAGGCGGACAGATGTTTTCACTGTATTTTCTTCAAACTGTTTGTAAATGGAATTAAGTATAAGGTACTATATGTTTTCCATTTTATCTTATCGATACATGAAAAACACACGTTTGAGACAGTATTGAAGGTAATATCACGACAGCTAACATAGATGTAAGTTGACTGATATACTCACACCGCATGCTACATATACAGGAACGAACACCCAGCCAAGTAAAATAAGAAAGTAGATTGACTGAAACAAAAAAGAGGAGTTTATATGATGACAGATCATTTTATTTCTTATGAATGAGAACTCTCAGGGTAATTTGAATAACAAATTTAAGAATTGGCGAAGTGGTCAGATAATGTAATAGTATTTGATACCAACACTGTTCATGATCATCAAACAGGCGAAAACTTAGACGTCTTATAAATAAACATTGTTCGATTGGGCGATATCTTTGTGTTTTTATGATTGGTTATTGAAAGTCTAAATCAAACATCTCTTAATACTCTAATAGCTGTACACGAAACTTACGTGCCACTCGTAGATGGTCACCGAGAACCCCATGGCAGCAGCCGTACCAGAAAGGCCAATAAACATGGGTGCTCCAATATTGCTCGCATATATAGAGGCTCCAATCTGTACCATAATAAAAGTTCTTTACCAGTAATTTATACAATATGTTTCTATAAACCACTCTAATCAAGCAATTTTTGTTAAATACAGGTAGCTCTTCCAACCTAAATATCGGAATCAATGACAGGCAATAAATGACCAAAGCTTAGATATAATGCATGCCACAACAAACGTTTACAGACATCACGTGCAAGGTATCGCTGTTTAATCTAACAGTAGAACCCAACATGCGTCCATCTAAAAACCATCCATATTACGCACAGTCTAATTGTGTTATATCATTTGGAATACCTTATTACGATAAGTACATATGAGGTGTACATTCAATATATTAAGCATGCTATAATATTAATTCAAATGATTTCATGGAGGTAAAAGATATTATTGGTCTGAAATATATTTTGATAAAAATATATACAATACCGGAATCCAGTGCATATTCTTCCCTGCCAGGAAATACCCAGTTGCACTCCCTCGATTTGGTCGGCATGTCGACTGTAATTGTATAGATCTAATATAGTTCTTTATGAAAATTAGAATCTATAGATATATTAGTTTTGAAATAATAATATAAAATATCTGGATTTCGATTCGGATTGCAGCACAATTACATCTTAAATAACAATTACAATTGGAAATTTGTATGAAACAAAAGAGAAAAATGAACGAAAATTCATTGTTGTAAAATAATATATAAGTATAAACCATATATTTACCCAAAGTCCGACAACAAGAACAACGGCAAAATAGATGCCTATTGTCATATAATCCTCCCATACAAGCTTCTCTACCATCCTTCTTATTGGTCTAACCAAGCTTTATATAGGGTACTTGTGGGAAAACACGCACACTTACACACTGTAAAGAAATGAAACACACAGTCACGAAAAGAAAGAGTGAGTGGTGCACATTTGTTTGCATACTAATGAACTGATTCAGTGGTTCCTATATGTTCACTCCGGTTAGATTCATGCATCAACTTCGTTTTCACTCTGTATGATTACAACTGAAGATATTTGAATATATTAAAGCACTTCAAACGTAAAATATTTTACTTTACATTGCTACGAGCATTAATATATACAAGATATCTCTCAATAGTTACAATTATCAAGTGCCCGGAATACATGTTTATCAACAGATGTATACCAAGAGTGGCGGTGTGGCCGAGAAGTTACGCGTCGGACTTATATTCCAAGAATTGCTGGCCGCGTTGGTTTAAACCCCACCAGGGCACGCCGTTGTTTCTGTGAGCAAGACACTTTACACTCTACTCTTTGCATAGTACTGGTTGGTTCCAGAAACGGACTGGAAAGTGTTTTAATAGGTTTATAGCTTCAAATCAATCGAACCAAAATAAATTAGTATAAACTAAACACCTTAACCTAGAACCGAACATAGAATCAAAAGTGACCACGGTTATAAAAACTTTGCACAAATTTAGCATGTTAAGGAGGAACTATGTACTTGAACTATCTAAGCATGAGAATGAACAAAAACCTGTATTTTGAAATCTTTGTTCGTATCATTTCAAACAGAAATGCATTATCTTAGAAAATGAAAGTGTTCATAACCTTGGTATCGTACTATTTTATGTTGTAGCTATATCAAATTCATCATTGTTTTGTAAATATGCATTAATCGTCGTTAATAGGACGTTATAAACACACAAAGTAAATAAATCACACAGATACATTTATCATTTAAACCTACATTATATTTATATAGTTTTACAAGTAACTTACCTGTTTTGTCTTTAAAGATAATCTCCTCACGTGTATCCCATCTTGTCAAGACCTGAACAAAGTAGATAAATTTACCTTGTATTTAAATAAGTTGTTTTTTTGGAGCGAAACAACATTCAGATATGTGTTCATACAATATGATTCTCATATCTTGACCTTCGTTTCAACTCTGTAGTGTTGATTTACAAATTTCAAATTAATAGTATATCCATCATGCAAAGAGACCCATTATTTGAACATCTTCAATTTTATAAACTTTTTAATTGTGTCTTTTGTTAAATAGACGATGAACAGTCGATGACCCCGAAGGTAACGACCGTTTAATCTATTTGCGACAGCTTCTTTCAATGCCTTCAGTTTTATAGGTTATGTATTTATTCCGATATTTTTCAGATAAAGTTTTTTCCCCCATCAGATTCATCTACCTTCCATTTAAGTGAAAACTTAGCTGAGACCACACATTATGAATTTAATGTTGACAATTTTAATGAACGTTTATAACTTTACATAATAGCAGGAAAAGAAAACATATATAACACAATGTGTGTAAAGTGGTAATAAAGTGTTATAAGTGTTATGTAGAGAGCTTGAAAAAGACAATGATTCATTTACCATTCATATTATACATGCATGTTTGTTTATTTAACATAAATACTTGTTGCTATAATAGAATAAACAAAAACTTAAACGTGAATAATGAGTATCGATCTTATAGCGAACAATGTTGAGTAAGCGTTTGTTACATTTTGTTTCATTATGCACGTTTATTGTATGCTTTAGAAAATGTATTTATTTGATTTATATACAACGGCTTGTCCTATCTCTAACACACGGTATTGTAACTGTACATTAATGACATTGATAATTTTACATCGTCAATATTCCACATATATATACTTAGCATTATCTGCTATCATTTTATTTCATTACTAAATCTTTGCAAACATTAAGTGCAAAAATGAACTGTTAATGATATGCACTAAAAAGAAAAAAGTAAAAAGGTTATGAAGAAACAGAACATGAAACTTGTCGTTAAGCATGTAAAATGATCTAAATGTTTGGCTTATTCTCATTGTAGGACAAATATTGCAATTTTAGCCTAATTTTCACATTTTACACATTCTGTTAATTTGGCTGACACATCAATATTGTATACTAAACATTGAAAAAAACACCCATAAACATTTACTGATATATATATGCTAATATATGCAAATTAAATGACAATAAAGTAAACGAAAGTTACAGTATACGTAAATAAAACACATTTCGTATTACCTGTCATTTTACTTATTATTTAAAAGTCCACAAATACGCCTGAGAGGTTTCGCTTCAATTGAAATGTATCACTATTTTAACCGCCTGTTACAGATTTAATCAAATTCAGATACAGATATGGAATAGTGATCCCATATTTATGCATTTGCACGAACACATGTGCACAGTTAATTAACACACTGACACCATGGATGTACATTACATTCCCAGGGTTTAAACCACTTATAAAGGTAATACTTCAATGTTGAAAATGTTTAAACTGCCAAGCGTTCACAAACAGGTAAAATGTAAACAAAAAACAAGCGCGTCGTTCAAACTATGTATACTTCAAACGTGGTTTATAAGGTAAGATAACTGAGTCATTGATAACAATATATATATTGCCTTATTAAATATGAATGACAATTTACTGACAATTATGTATTTCTAATGTTAATAACTTATGATATTTATTGTACGTTGACAACTGTTTAAGGTCTTCAATAACGTATTAAAGTTATGACACTTTTAGGCTAGTATATTGTTGTTGTGTAATGTTAATAGAAATGTTTCAAAAAGAGAAAACAATATTTAAATCATGATCAATGCCTTTCCGACAAAGCATCTTCATTAGTATTTGAAAATAGCACTGTATTCAGTTTCATAGTCAGGTACGGCGATCATATTTAATCTCAAACATAGAAGTACAATGATTTAATTTTCCATAAGCTCAGTCGTTATGAGGAGGAGAAATTTATAGCGTTAACAGAAATAATGTATGCTGTTTCTTAAATAGCAATGAAAATACATACATACGCTGAAACATAATCTGCATACACATTAAACACATTTATTACACATTTAGATTTGCATTTAAGGATTTAAAAGCGGTAAATGTAACTGGACCAGTAATTTGAATCTATTTTTTTCTGATAGTAGCCATCATATAACACTAATTACATAGAATGACGACTTTCCAGGAACCGGAAAGAAAGAATCAAGCTCCACCCTTTTTTGGAAAAAGAACAGAGCAGGTATTGGACAAGGAAAAAGAAGTCAGCGACACACTTCGGCCAAAGAAAAACAACAACCCATGGATTTTTTATTTATCATATTCTTACTTTTAGCCTAAAATATATCCTTTATTTAAATAAGAAATCATCTACTCATTCACTATGTTATGCATTTTGATACACACCTTAAAAATGCATTTTCATTACAAAAATGTAATTAGGGCCATGATGGGAACAGTGATGCGGTACACATATTTGTACTCAATTTAGTCTTTTTAGTATAGTTTTACAGATCATGTACAAGTATGTTACACTAAAAAGGGGACGTTCGTTGCCGAGTGGTTAATGTCTTTGACTTCTAATCACTTGACTCTTACCGCTGAAGGTTCAAGCCACAAGCGTCAATTTGGTAGGTAATTGGTATTTAGATGTTCGAATAACAAATTATCTATTAGCTAGTAGTTAATTATTTAAGATTCCCAAATATTTAACAGCTGATTTCAATCAACTATCATCAGCTGAAAATGTTCTAAAACATCGTACATTTTTAAACACAGAATTAAGGAGTTGACCTAGTTGATTATCCGTGTGAATCCCCGAAACTTTACATGTTCTTTCCCTCAATAAAAGTTACTGATATATGACAAAACGGTTGAGTTCTACAACAAGTAAACACCCCGTCTCCCTATGCTCATCAGGGTTATTCATACGAATCTCTAACTCGGTATATAGATACAAGATAGGTGTCTTCTACATTATCATTACACACCCTTCTCAATACGTCGACCAGGAGACTCAGTTGGTTATTCGCGTGAATCCCTAACTATCAACCACAAGGCAGTTGGTTATTCGAATATAACACGTATTTCTCTCAAAGCAGAAAGTATTTATCCGGAATAAAAGTAAAAGATATATGACAAGATAGATGAATTTCATCAATGGTATCACCCCGTCCAGGGGACTCAGTAGGTTATTTATGTGAACCAGAAGGTAGTTGGTAATACGAACTTTTCATGTTTTACCCCTCAAAACAGAAAGTACTTTCCGTAACGGATATGTAGTAAGATTGGTTTGTCTACTAGGTAAAATAGACAAATGCATGTTGTTTAAGGTTAAAAAATACTGTAGTAAGCGAAACAAGATTTTGAACTTCATTACACATAACTGTACCTTAAATTTTCACTTATCTGTCTCTTTTCAGCTTAGCAGCTACACTAGTAACTCTACTGTAAATAACATTTGTTTGTAATTTCTTTAGAATTGTCAGGCCTTACTAAAGAATTCAAATACAATTCTTTCAAAACAAACCATAAACAAATCAAGCATCAAAACAATGTGTTTATAAACATTTTATTTATTACATCCTTATTTAATATGATTGAAAAAGCCACACAAACATTTTTACCCTATGTTAGAGATTTGTACAATAGTTATAACAATGTTTACAAAACCAAAAAAACAATAACACTGACAACCGCCCATGGACAACATAACCATCCTTATAGGAGAAAATTCGTTTTCATAGTGTGAGTGTGTAAGTTAGAATTGAGTAAGAGGTGAAATCACAAGTCATAACGTATTCGAATATAACTAAAGGTACTACCTTAAAATAATATTGTTTAATATAGCCATTTGAAAAATCTTCTTAGAACTGATTTACTGACGAAAACACATACTCTCGAATAGTGACATGCCGTACCCATTAGGACAATACTAATCAACTACACGATGTAACTGTTATGTATACGCTAAATATGTAAACTATAGGCCTTTTACCCGCTCAGTTCAGGTCCCAGGAGCAGAAATCATGGAAGCATGATTTTTGAAGGAGTAAAGAAGGTTCTGTGATGAGAAAATCTTCGTGCATGTCTTTGATTATGTAAACATATCACAAAAAGTCATAAAGAAATAGACCATGCTGACCTTATCCAATGGTCATCACATATTTGCAACTTCTTTGAACTGTCTCCACAAATGTAATACAGACTCCGTTGTACCTGTCTTACCCCCAGAGGTGATGTATCCATGAGTTCTGTTCCTGTGATCTTGGCCTTGAATAATTTGACTCGGTGCTATGTTTATGTATACCACAAATACCACAGACCCTATTATTGTATATGATTTTCTTTAGCTAAGAAAGGATAACAATGTGATGCTACATGTCAAATATCTAAGATCTGTGCATTGCCGTTACTGGAAAGAAGATTTTCAAATATTTAATTTTTGAAGTACAAGTGTATATTTTTGGCACTTGTGACTACATATAAAACATTGACATTACTTTATAGGGGATACTCAAGGATCATTCCTGTTCAGTTTGGTCAATATCATCATTGTGGTGTGAGAGGAGTTCTGTTTGAAAGAAATTATGAACAACGACAAACGACGGACGAGTTGCCATCACAAACACGTTGTGCTCAGGTGAGCTAAAATGTATTTTTAAAACACATAAAAATTTGTATAAACGTTGTGGTATTTATAGTTTTACATAAAATGTTCGGTTCTGTCATATACCCGTATGGCACATTTTAAGCATAGAAACCAATCAAAAAAGTTATTGCCACCATAATTATTATGGCTCCCGTATTTAGAAACGCTGTCGCCTTGCGATTTTGTTTAATTGATGTCATTTTCCTGCGAATTATCGCACGTTCTTCCGCTGAAATGTTTGTATTTCCGGTATCCTGATTTCCACAAACCCACGCCAAAAATGCCATTTTACATCTTTCACCGTCTGAAATAAAATATATATCAACTGATTGGATGTCTACAAATGATAAACGAAAATAATGGCACTCCAATGATTTAGTAGTTGATAATAAGTCATGATTTGAACAGATATTATTCATGAACCTGCACTTCTTATTTAGTTTATAAGTAAATAAATATTAAATAAAGTGCTTCTATCCAGCCTATCATTAAACAGAACACTATACATGATAGAACATTCAGAATGCGAAATGTCTATCCTTTTACTTAAATATTGTAGCATGACTTGAAATAAACGTAAATTCACATCAAGTTCACATCAGCTATATGCACTTTTCAGGTGTTTCACACTTAATAAATGTTTAAATGTTGTTGTTGTTGTAAATTAAAGTACCCAATTTGTTCTTATTGAATTCCTCCTATAATGATCATTGACTTCATTTAATGTAAAGTGAAACCATTTAGAGCAAATACATTTTGTTGTCTATTTTATATGTTAACTACATTTGTATTACAAACGTATAAGGCAAAAAATATTATATAAAAGATATTCGTACTAATGTATGCCGTCGGTTTTGATTCTATTTCAATTGATTGAAATGTTTTAGTTTCAGCAACGGCCTCATCCTCACTTATTTGTTGCTCATCAACCTTTTCTTTGCATTCATCATCTTCGTCATCAGTTAGTTCAGGTTCTTCTTTGTCATGTCTGGTCCACCATGTCAACTTGTGCAGCTGAAACATGTAATAAATGGTCCACAGGTATACAATTGCTGCATACACTCTTTACTACTTAAACATACATTAATGTACAGAATCAATTTAAATGTTTACTCCGTGTAATTTCTGAAGTACTTCTTACTTAAACATACTGAATTTTTATAGATGATAATAGAAATGGAAGTTAGGTTGGAAAGTAATTAATCAACAATCCTTAAAAGATGTCAATATGTCATATTAAGAACATATATAATTTATTTAATTGATTTAATATAATTGATAATGCTTAATGTGGATCTAATATTGGTCACCTGGTTTGAATTTCTAGGCTTCGTGAACAAGCTAATTATCACCATTACAACCACACAGATCAATCCGTTGATGATTGAAAAATGTAGAAAGTCTAGCTTGGCTGAAATGACTGGCCGTTCGTCAGGCTCTCCACTCCCACAATAAGGAGGGGCTACGGAAAAATCCAAACCCATCCGGATGACACCAACAAATAATCCAAACGACATGCCGTAGAATATAGCCTAGTAATATATTGAAAACAACTACATAATTTTGGAAAAATTAAACATGACTATGACAATGTCATAATTTCAACTGTGCATATTTATGAAAAATAGGAATAATTACGTAATAAAACAATTATAGATGCATACGAATTACATGATATCTACATGGAGTCGGGAGGCTAAGCTCACCGGCGTCAAATCACTTGCCCCTTAACTCCGTCAGAGACTTTGTCTTCTTGATATAAGGCAACTATCCAGCTATTTTACTAAAAGTCAGTGGTTCTACTCAGGTGTCCGCTTGTGCCTGAAATAATGCACGAACGGGCACATTATTTCTTTCTCTACCTGTAAAACAGAAAGGTCGTCGCATGACCTTTATATTTTGTCGATGTGACTCTAATCAAATAAATTAAAGATACAATTAATACGAAATCAAAAATAATACATAATTATATATTCAGATGCGTGTAAGAAGCTTACTTGTAATAAACATGACATCATCTCTAGAAAGAGTGATCTATTGGAATTCCAAAGAGCTTAGACTGATACATGAATCATTTTCACAATTGAAGGTCATCAAATTAATATAAGTGGAACATTAAGATATAAATTCTTACTGGTTCTGTCGTTGGCTTCCAAAACAAACCAAGAAGAAAAGCTACACACCATGGAACAAAGAAATACGCAACAATTGATGCTAGATAAAACCAAAGTATTCCGCCTTGTTGATCTTGTAGAATTGGTAACCATAGTATACTGATTCCTACTAAAACAAGGACCGTAACTCTTCCCACTACCATTAATTCTCTTTGTCCGGCGTTCTTTCGGAAATGAGCCCAAAGGTCGAGCGTTACCAAAGAACTTGCACTGTTAAAGACAGATGTTAATGTGCTCATAATCGCGGAAAGAAGTGCAGCCAACATCAATCCGCGTACACCTGATAATAGATAAAATTCTGTGAGATTCATATTTCGTCATTACTCTGATTGTCAATAGAAGTGAATACTAGATAATCTCAGAAAGTAGTTAAAGTATCTGTATTAACATGTTCTGGTTCTGGTTCTTGGTAGTTGTTCCTAGTCGTTAAAATTAACATTTAATAACCATCTCAGATAAAAAGAAGCGTGTCTTGTACGTAGAGATGATAAAATGAGTTACACAGTAACCTGGATACTTCAGGTTATTATATCATCATTATTTTGAACAGTTTTATGCAAAGTTTAATTCGAGATACCAACTCAATAGGACTATAGGGGTTTTCCAAACATCTTGACATGGGCTTTGACATCCTAAAATAATTAAGAATACTTGCCAGTAACAGCCTAATAAGATGAAATCATGCATTTAATTAAAACGAAGTCTGTATAATTAAGATACCACCACCCAAAGTAGCACGGAAAGTATCAGTTAAAATTAGCACCCCATTGAAATTTGAAACCATAAACAATCAAATATTGTAAAAACCTTGGTATTATTAAAATCCTAGACCATCCGTGAACCCATTCTGATTTTCCTTTCAGCAAAAAGTGTGTTCCAATCAGTAGGTGAATTCAAAGTGATAGACTTGTTCTTCAATCATTAAAAAGAGACTGATTCTATTTTTATTCTTGGCATTTACTTGAAATTCACCGTTAAATTTAACATAAACCTTAAAGGAGGCCTAAAACACCAAACGAGGAATGCTTGGGCGTTTTTACAAAGGGATTTATGCAATAATGAAGATCACAGATAGTTCCGAAAGTACATGTTTTTGTATTGCTCAGCTATTTCTATTTTTCAATAGATTACTTTTATCATCATATGTTTTCAAATTATACATATTTGTTCACTTATTCGGACCTTAATATTTATTAATTTGTCAACATCCATGAAGAAAATATTCACTTTAAACGTGTCTGTTAAGTTTTAAGTGTTCTTTTTTACAACGTGATGTGGTGTTATTTCATCCCATTTACAAGACACTGTTTATTTGTATTTGTTTGGGTCGTCAGACGAAACAAATAATCGTAGCGAAATTTCAGACCCTGATATGCTTATTTTCAAAATTCGCAAATAGTCCGTCACGAACTCCTTGAAGCGGTTATAATTACTTCCTTTATAAGTACAATAACGCCGAAAAATTAAGAGGAGATCACTGCGTAAAGATTGTCAAATGACGGGCGCATTAATTTTCAAACCTTCTCAGGGAAGAAAAAATAGTTGAATTTGTCGAAGATATTGTGTAATTCTTTAACATTTTCGCAAATTACCGGTAACATATTCAAATAATTTCGTAACGCGGATGAATATCATTTTAATCAATGAAAATTGCTCGGCTATTTGTGTAAAGCTTCGAATTATTGTGATAGCCTAATGAACATTTGTTGTTTAGACGTTTTGAAAAAGAAAGTAAGGATGCTGACTCTAGGCAGGGACGAATTTAGGCAGTCGACAATCGATAATTTCTACCATAAGTTAGCGTCTTATAAGTTAAGCATCCGATAATTTAATCCACGTAAACAAAGCGCTATTTGTAACCACACCTCAGTGCGTATTACACAAAGAGTAGTTAAACATTATATACATGAGAGAAGATTTTTGCTGAATTATTTCACAGATATACATGCTTATATTAAAAGCTCCATGACTTTTTACATCAGTGTTAAACAACAGGTTTACCGTGAACAAAATATCTCGAAATTAATAAGGATCACAAACCCTAATTTAGAATAATGTGGTTTGCTTCAGGCAATTTTCTTATAAATTTCCCGTAATCCAGGGGTTGTACGCTCGTTTAGGAAGCGAGAAGTCAAATTCAGTTGAAGTGTTAATGTGATTTTTTAATTTAAAAAAAAATGTTTAAGCCAAATAAACATTGAAATGAATATCATTATTGCAAGTAGCCTTAAGGCAATATACTACAGTTATAACACTGAAAAACAGCAATGCTGCCACTATACAAACAAATTGGTTTATAATCTCACAACGTTCACCTTTCTGACATTTTGAGAATCAAAGAAATTCGGCGCCTTCTGTGCTTTGATTTAAGTTCTTATCAGTATTGTTTATTTCTATCAATGATTATGACTTGCCTTGTCTTGTTATTTTGCATGTCTTTGTATCACACTGGCAATAGTTTGTAGTCAAGGGTAGGTAAGTCTGCCAAAAGCATTTTGAGAATTATGCCCCCTTTTCTACATTGATTTAAATATATTACTATCCAGCACTGGAAGAAGTCTTGTAACAAGTGTTTAAATTTAGATTGATTGTTCTCTGTTATTACGATATAAATCTATTTATATTTAACGATAGACAACATACCTACAGGGAGAATGCGTAGGACAAGGAGCGGGTATGCAATGTTCGAACATCCGGAGGGACTTCCACAAATTTCCGTGCAATCATCAGGATCGGCGCAAGCAACCTCATCTGCATGAGACAAGAAATTGTTCTCACTATTGGCTCAGATATTGCTTCGTTTCGAAGTTACGAAGTGAATTGTTAAGTGACGCGAGATTTAGAATAAAAAAGACCATTTAAAAGTGTTTTATTACTTAAAAGCCGCTCAAAAATATTAAAGTTTGACAACATGAACTTGTTTAATGTTTATTTATTATCATGCAGTATGATATACATGTATACTATAATGTATCAGCAGGCATCTATGTATATTCATACCTGTATAAAATATTCTACTGATCATTCCAGGCAGTACAAACATGGGTAAGCTAAGAAATTTTAACAAGGAGGCAAACAGAGTTCCGCCTTTAGCATGGGCCAAATTCTTAGCCGAAAGACATCGTTGAACCATTAACTAAAAATGAACATGTTTAAAATTGCATTACATAATTTATGTACATTTGTATAATCATATATTGCAAACTTATCATTATAAGATCATTTTACAATTCTACAAAACATCAAAATGAGCTCAATTTTGGACTGGTTCTTTTTTGTTATCTTTCTTCATTTAAATTAAATTTATACTTTTAAATCGTTCCCCTACACGCTCCCATATCTTTGCAAATTAAACGCCCTTTATCTGTAAAACAGATTTAATGCTTCAGTGATAAAATTTTCAAATAAACGACATTTTTGATATGCAAGTCTTATTGAACACTTCAAATTCCTCGATGCTAGCTGTTTCTATTAAATCAAAATTTTCACAAATATAAATAAACAAGCACCGAAAAGTTAATTCCAAGATGTGAAACCGTACATCGAAATTAAATTTCTATCTTGCTTATAACTTTGGCCAAGATTTGAAATCGTCATTCAATGTACAGTCATTAATTTCCAGTTTGCTTTGAATTTCAAGTCAGCTCTGTAATCGAATTTCATTTTCATATCGAACTACCACTAACCTCAGAACCAGTTCTGCGATCGATTTTACATGTATCTTTAATTTATGAATGTTGATAATGAAATTTACAAAAATAAAAAAGGATAACATATATATAAATTGGTAAAGCATTATATGAAGAAAACAAAAAGTCAATGCGCAATATTGTGAATGAGCTCCTTCATGATGAAAATATTTGCAAATAACAAAACTACAATCAGTGTTTTTGAATAATAATAGATATTTTCAGTAAGTTTATCTGATTGGATGTTATTAACGTTTTACCTGATCTTGGCACCACACGAACAATGCTAGGATTGTCAGGCCAAATAAAACACCGGGCCATGGTATATCACCTTTCACTGGATCACGAAATATATGGAAGGCATCGTCACGTGGCATACCACAGCTATAGAATGACTGATTAGAGAGCGTGTAATTTGTGGCTGCCTTCATGTATTTTACCTCCATGGTGTGCCAGCTCCCGATCTTCATGAAAGCTATTCAATTAGACAAAATAAAATATAAAATTACTCAACAAATGTTTCCCTTCGATCACACAGAGCTTTATCTAAGCTATTTGTAAGTATTGATTCGTATTTATTCGATGTAATAAAAAACGCGGACTTTATTTCATTATCAGGTTGACAATATCACATGATGTGTCCGAATCTATATTGCAATTTAAGATGACATAAGGCACTGCTTTATATTCCATTATGCATTATGTGTCTGGAAAGAACTGAGTTTGGTATCTAACTGATTACTTACATATAATAAATACAGTTATTGCTCCAACAACAAGTATACCCGTTTGCAATGTGTCCGTAAAAATGACCGCCCGGAGGCCACCTGAAAACAGAGCATTATCTCATGACAATATGATGTAACCTACAGAGTAAAAGTCTATTTAAAATATTATTTTCAAACATTAAAAAAGCAGAAACTGACCCGAATTTTCAAGTCAGGCTTTATTATATTCTCATCGTCAAAGAAGAGAATGAAATTAGACGTGTTACAAGTTTCATTTTTGCATTTTTTAAAACATTTTTATTGCCTAAATAATGTGAAAATCCCTTAATTCGCATCAACTTGTGTGAATTGAACTTTAAACTAGAAGATACCATTAATAAACTTATTCATATTCAATAGAATCAGGTACTGAAAATGAAACAAATGGATAACCATTCAAACGAATAATATAATAAATCAGGTCAAGAAAAAAGACACACTATATGATCCGCGTCACGACAAAACCAACGTAATGTATTTGCGACCAGCATGGATCCAGACCAGCCTGCGCAGCCGCGCTGTCTGATCAGGTCCCATGCTGTTCGCTTACAGACCCTATTACAAGTAGAGAAACTGATAGCGAACAGCATGGATCCTGATCAGACTGCACGGATGCGCAGGCTGGTCTGGATCCATGCTGGTCGCAAACGCATAACGTTGGTTTTATCGTGACGCGGGTCATATTTTCCTACCAACCCAAAAAGTATAATAGCAACCGGGGCCCGTATTCGAACACGATTAGAAGTTCCAAAAACCCCAAAACTGCTTTTCAAAAATAGCACCAAAAATATCTCACCCCGATTTTTATTTCAACACCAAATTTTTTTTAAGGTAAGTTTAAAAAAAATAATTATTTAAAAAAAAGAAAAATAAAAAACAAAAATCCTCATTTCTTTTAAAATTGTGACTACGGATGTTGTTTTTTGTGTGAAAAATATCATATGCAATTTTAGAAGCACAATTTAAAAGTCTTTTAAAATGAGAAAAATGAAAAAAAAAAATAGTAAACATCAGAAAACTAAATATCATCATTAGGTAATATTTCATCAAATTGTTGTAATCAAGCACAATCATTTGTACATTCCTTGTGTGCAGAAAACAAATAGTTGTAATTCACGACTCGGTTTAAATAATTGCCAATAAGCGTAACATTTCTCAAACTCTTAAGCACTGTTTAGGCCGTGTCGGACTAGTAAATTAGGGGTTCCTGGCGGCGTGGGAAAGTCGACGATTCATAAAGCAAGAAACTTCTCACTCATTTCTTAGGACTGGTTGGTCAGTGTTGGAGTTGAGAGTGTTTTTATAATCTTATAACTTCTGAAAAACATATTTGCACGGTACAGCTTGTAATTGGACTAGAGCAGAAGTTAGTATTTGCTAAAAGTGCATTATCTTAAATGCATAATATATACGAGTACATATATATTTTAGGTATGAGAAAATATTTACACTGATATTTCTGAGAATATAAGAGACAAGCATGATAATTGATGTGCACACTTGGATCCTCTTCCCTCCAAATCTCTTCTTCAGATACTCAGGACTTGTAAATGCCTAAAATATATAAAGATACGATAGTGAAATTCTAAATTGCTTGTTACCATAGTAACACAATACATTACTTTACCATTGCCATTTATATTTTTTAATCACATATTGTTGATAAAATAGAACTATTTTTGGTAACACAATACATTCATTGACCATAGATGTCAATATTATTTTGAATGTATTGTTAATTAAATAAAATTGCTTGTGACGATGATTACACTATACATTTATTGGCCGTTTCTGAAAAATAAATTTCATTATATTGCTGTTTAAATACAATTGTTTTGTTACCATGATATCACAATACAATTATTGACCATTTAATTCATTTTCTATTAATTTTGGATATTTTGTTTATTAAACAACTCATTTCAGTAAACTTCGTCCTCAGTTTCAACCTTTGATAATGTATGTAGACAATATTTAATTATTTGTACATCACAAAATTGAGTCTCATTGATCATATTGAAAGTATTCATCTAAAATGAAAATAACAAATTGAAAAAAAAACAACTTATGAATGAAACAAAATTCAGCGGTTGAAACATAAATGACTGACTATAACAATTGATTTGAATATTATGTTAAATAATATAATCACAGCCATTGCAAAATTGACCCCGTTTATTTCAAACATTACACAACTTACCCCTGACGCAATGTAGACGGGGACAAATATCCACCCCAATGATATGAGAATATACACCGCCTAAAATAATCAAACGAGATATTCAAAGTCTATTAATTCACAACAATGTTATCCTGTTTTGAATAGACGTATTCTTTAATTAACAGTAAATTTGCCAGTAAACAGCCTGGTGTTACTAATTTTTATTTTATTTTATCTATACAAATATTGTATCACTAAATAATAATGTAATCCTGATTTCAGAAACGCATACTTTTATTAACAGATAAACACAACTTCTACTCCTTAGTTTATTCTGCTACCATATCGCAACTAAAAATTTGCCAGTGTTATGGCTTACCATAATTTCTTTTATACGTTTGTTTTGAGTTTGTTATTTATTAAACGCGGAATCCGTTGAAAAGACCAGGTACGTTTTACATAAACCCAGGTTTTTTCCAAACACCCTAGATATACAAATTTCGCAATGAATAAAACCCTGGGAAAAATCTTAGAAATTCAATCTCAGGAATATATAAATGCACTGAGTTAAAAGCGGACACAGCAGATCATGATCAGACGGCACGGAATCTACGAAGGGAAGTCAGAAAATATCCGGACTTTCGACTCGTTCTCGAAAACCATTCAACATTTAAAAAAAAATCTTTCTACTCTTTTTCAAAATATTCTCCACCTACGTCTACGCACTTTTGCCATCTTCGTGGGAGCTTTTGTATTTCCGCTGTGAACAATGACGTAGACCTATGTTTTAGGTACTGTGTAACAGCAGATATCAAAGCCACCCTGGTCTTATATTTCTTTCCAGCAAGCGATTTATTCAGTTCTGGAAACAAATAAAAGTCACAGGGGCGAGGTCTGGGCTATAAAGAGGGTGTGACAACAATTGCCATTTGTAAGAGTTGATAACCTCCGCTGTAGCTGCGGCGGTATGGAGGAGCGTTATTGTGAAGAAGGAGGACATTTTCTGTGCTAACCTGGGACGCATTTGCTTCAGTTTTTCTATGAAATTTTTCAGAATTACTTCAGAATAGTACTTGGCGGTGACAGTTTGACCTTTTGGCATGAAAGAGTAAGTATCATTCCTCGTGAATCCCAAAAGGCAACAAGCATGAGTTTGCCAGCCGAAGGAGACAGCTTAAACTTTTTAGGAGGTGGGGAACCAGCTCGTTTCCACTGCTTTGACTGAGCTTTTGTCTCAGGTTCGGATAATGAACCCACATCTCATCTCCAGTGATAATGCGGTTCAAAAAACTTATCTCCTTCACGATTTAAACGACTTAAATGTTCTTTTGCATTGGTTACTCTGGTTGCCTGTTGATCTGCGGACAGCTGTCTTGGCACCCATCTGGCACTTACCTTACTCATGCCTAGGTGTTCGTGTAAAATCTTGTGTGCCGATGCCTTACCGATGCTAAACTTGTTGGCTACCTCCTCCAGAGTTACTCGACGATTTTTGTTGACAAACGCTTTAAACATTTGCTACCATTGCTGGGGTCACCGCCTAAGCTGTCCGCCCAGTCCTAGGCCTGTCTCAAACACTTGTTCTGCCTTCACGAAACTGAGAAACCCAGTTGTAGAAGGTTGAACGTGATACACATTTATCAGAAAATCTTTTTTTAAGCCTCTGGAAGATGCGGCAGGGCTTTTTCACCTTCTGCAACCAAGAAACTTTAATACAGAGCGTTGTTCCTCTAACAAAGAGTCCATGATAGACGAAACACCTATCATATATCAGAGGGCAAAATACTGTGTATACACAAACTATCGTTGAAAATAAACTGACCACGTTATTGGCGAATGAAATGTAGTTTTCACCAATATATAATGTGTGTATATAGCTGCACGTGGAAAGACAGGAGCATGAAAAGTCCGGATATTTTCTGACCGTCCCTCGTATTATATAATAATCTACATGAATCGACTTAAAATCAACTAATGTATATATAAAATCTTTGTAACTTACATGCCATTCATAAATGACAACTGCTAAACCGCTGGCTGCAGCGGTCCCTGATAAGCCTACAAACATTGGAGCCCCGACATTGCTCGCGTATATTGACGCACCAAGCTGTAATGAAATGAATAACATTGTTTCATATAGCAGATACTAAAGTATTGTTTCTGTAGCGCATGTATGTCACAAGGTTATTACAGTTTTCGATATGGAAGGATTCGCTGACTTGGGTTCTGAGGCCCAGTATACATATGTGTTTAAGAATTCGCATAAGTTCCTGTTTCCTGAATATTTTTAAATGATGTTTCATTTTTTACACTTGTTTAATGACAAGATTAAAAAGTACATCAGTAAATCGGTGAAATAAACACAAACCAAATACAGATCGTTGTATTTAACGAGCAGTAACACATTTTGACTATGTGGTGGTTGTTTGCATATATAACCCAAGCCGCTAAACGACGTTGTTTGTTTTTGTTTCAAGCAAACTTTTCTATACGGCAAGAATCTTTATAAACAATTCATAATCCAACAAACTTCCTTAACTAAAGAAAGAAAAAAAAATATTTTTTTTTATAAATTGACAGAAGTAATGTATACAGTATTTATAAACATCATAATAATTTCCAAAAGAAAAAAGAAATTAAAAAAACGGGTTTTCAAATTTTAAAAAATCTTTAAAGACCAAGTACTTCAGGGGGGAACCCAAAAGGCCGAAAGAAAAAACGTTTCTGCCCCTTTTTTGGGTTTAAAAAATAGACTGAAAATAATATATGGGGTTTTACACCCCTGATTAAAATGAAAGACAGTATCTTATTATCTTGCATACTCAATCTACATTTAATTTATCAGTATCACTAAAAATGCACCAACACTGTTTACATAAGCCGTCATTAAAAATTCACTTACAAAATAGATATGTAAAAATGCTCACCCATATTCCTACTGCAAGAACAATTGCAAAATAAAGTCCAATGGTCAAGTAATCTTCCCATAATAATACCTCTGGCATTTTCGCAACTTGACAACTGTTAAAATTAAACGTTTAATACAATAATTGCAGATTATTACAAATTTAAACAGGTAATCATAATGTATGTTAAAAAGTATAACTTTTATACTTTCTAGATTTTACTAATGTTTTTATTTACAAAATATGTTTTGCTTTTACAGCAAATGATGTGTTTATACATTTAAATGCACTTAAAGCTAAGATAAGCACAACTAAACAATGTGTGAAAAAATACACTATAAAAAACCCACTCAGGTTTAAAGACTGAACTATTAATAACTTACCTAAAAGAAATCCTAAAACTACTATAGTATGTCGGCACCTTGATGACCTACTTAATGCCTTTTATAACAGATAAGATGACTTAGTGTGGTCAGTATTTTAATTTTCAAATCCACATTTGACATATAAAATTTTGCCCCTTAAAATGATAAGGTAAAAAGAAAAAATTTTATAAAATTACAAAGTAGTTCAGAACTACCATCAATCAAGTGCAAGGGGAACCCTTTTGACCCAAATTTAAATTTTGGGGAAGTTTTTTTTTTTGTTTAAAACCAAGGATAGCTTTTTTGGATGTCTACATATTAAAAAAGTTAAATTTTTTTAGGAAAGTAATGCTTGTAGAATCATAAATAAAGTATCCATTTGTCAAAGTTTTGTATCATTATTTAGTTACGTAAATTATGCACTCATCCAAACGGATAATCATAAAAGTAATTTTGCGTTTAAACATTGAATCATTTATCGCGCCGTGTTTAAATCGGTGATGCATACAAATAACTTAATGTAAGATTATGTAAAAAAAACCTAGGAAATGAAAGGTGGGCGAATATTATGCATTTCCATTAAATAATTGACCTATTTTCCGACAACGCGAATGTCCCGGCTGATCATGGTGTGCAATTCGCGCATGGGTTGTTTCTGGTACCTCATACAGTTTAAAAGGGTTAATGTGATTGTTTTTATACGTGCAGAAAAAATGAAAGTACGAAGACTCATTATGGCGTCATAACATTCAAGTTATCTTGCTGTTGTGATACGATTCTATTGTCTTAATGATTGATTACTGTGTTAAAAGGTAAACAAGTGGATTAGTCGAAAATGGAAGGTCTGTACAATATAATAAACAATCACGTTAATATTATTTAGTATCAGACATAACAAAACACCATGAAAAAATTATATATGCCATTTGTTGGCAAGTATGGGATACATGTTCTGTTATCGCAAATATTTATATACTAGAACTTAGAACATATTGATATCTGTTAAATCCTTCATGAATATGTCTAACTTGAATTAGATAATGTACAAACTGTTTAGGAAGCCTATTAAATATCAAATTTTAGAAAAGATTATTTTTAAGTAATATTTTAATGAAAAATGTTTTGATCATTTTTTGACATTTGAATGGAAAATGAGCCCATTGTAGACCAATCAACTTTAAGATTTTTTCTACCCAGATATTATAACAAATGGGACACGATGGCCCCGAATCGCTCACTAGAAACAACGGCTTTCCAGTGTTAGAAATCACCCTCTAGTTATATAGTTTCCTAACACTGATTCTTCTTTCTTCATAAACCTTTAAAAAATGACCCAAGTTCATTGTTACTGTACATACAGCAAGTAAAGCTGTTAACTCACGCTTTCTAATTTCCTTTTCAGAATGTAATCTTTTAATACCTTGTTTCGTTTAAGCAGTTTTAAATCAGGATAACAGTTTGGCTATTAAACAATTAAAAAAATACAGAAAAGAGGGAAAAAGGAATGATTTATTTTCGCGAAAAATGAACTTGCTTGGCCAGGGCTGGGAATCAAAACTGCGTCGTATTCTTAAAAATGTAAACAAACGCCGCCGCCTTGGAACGAAAATGTATGTTTTTGTTTTCAACTCTTTTTGTTGGAAATGAATGAAAAATATATGTATTAACACGCTCCACTGTTTTCCGCTTCGTTTGGTATAAGTCGCTTGCACAACTATTTTGTAAAACAAAAGTTATAGCGAACATGCAACTCAAACGGGACAGAATTTGCATGAAGTTTTGTGGATACGACACAGTTCATATTGCTTTATCCGCCATTTCCCCCCTCAAATCAATAATATACTCATTTCAGTGTTTACCATGAATTCAAAATATAAGTTAACATCATTTACTAAAATTTCATTAAAAAGAGATGTTTATATTCCACGAAAATAATGATTTGCACGAAATGATACGACGCAGTGACTTACTTGCCTAGCCAATTTTCACCTTTGGAAGTTTTTGGCGGGAAACATCCATGAAAGGACAATAATGGTTATATATGATGTTTGTTGTCGGCATTTCAGCGGCGATTTTCGTGGCTGCTTGGTAAAGGCTGTAGACAGCAGACAATTTACTTTTTAAGGGTTTCAATACTAACATGCTTCATATAAAGGCTAAAAATGTGTTGTCGTTAGGGTATCATGTTCATTAAAAATAGGAAGGCCTTATAAAAATGTTTTTTGAATCATTAAGACATCATTTTAAGTGTTTAGTGCCATTTTCTTCTTCAAGATTTATTCAGTTTGTCTTCTACTTTCTTGTATGAGCTAAAAATGTGATACAGACTATAAACAAACAAACAAACAAACAAAATTTGAGGGACAGATGATTATCCTAAGTAGGGTAGGGTTACCCTTACCACAAATTTTTTAGGTCTAATGATATGCTAAGATAGAGAGGGCACATGCGTAGGACCATTTACATCTGTCTGTAAGCTAGATGGTTAGAATCAAAATGACCAGGCGTATTCAAACCTACAATGGTGAGGGGAAAGTAGTTTAAAGTCAACGACTTTAATATGGTGACCACAGTAGCCGTTATAATAATATGTCTGCTTGTATTGGAAACAATACATGAAGTGGCAATAATGGTTCATATTAACAATGATTGGCAGGATGTGACTTAAAAGGCAAAACATAGTAAGAAATAGACAAAAAAGGTAGTAATTCAAACAATTTGTTTAGAAAAGCTATTTAATGTTTTGTTTCTCTATTTTTAGCTTTTAAACTTGAAAAAGACCCTCTTAGAATGCTACTGACAATGTTTGGTAATCATCAATCCTTCAGTTAATTTATTCTGTAGAAGAGATGTTTAATGTTTTTTCTACTTTTAGCTCTTGATGCCCCTAAAAGGGGCCTATGAAATTAATTTGAACGGATTTGATTACAGACCATCTAAGAACGCTACATGCCAAGTTTGATGATCATCTATCAATTAGTTCAGTAGAAAAATATGTTTGAAGATTTTTCTATTTTTTTTAGCTTTAACAGCGTCTGAAAGGGGCCTATGAAATTAATTTGAACAGATTTGATAACAGACCATCTAAGAATGCTACATGCCAAGTTTGATGATCATCTATCAATTAGTTCAGTAGAAAAATATGTTTGAAGATTTTTCTATTTTTTAGAAAGGGGCCTATCAAATTAATTTGAACAGATTTGATAACAGATAGTGATAGTAAACAGACAAAGTTTAGTGATCATCCATCAATTAGTTCACCGGAAAAATGTTTTAAGGTTTTTCTTCTTTAGCTCTGATGACCCCTAAAAGGGGCAAATTGAAATAATATGAGCAAATTGAAGTGTGACTGTCATATGGATGCTACATACAAAATTTGAAGTAAATTTGCCTAGCACTTTCAGAGAAGATGAATGTTGACGCATGTCGACAGAAGACGGATGCCGCAGCACCCCCCTTTCAGACTAATAGCTTACCCGGAACCTTCTGCTCTGGTGCGCTTAAATGACAGAAATTAAAATGACACATCTTTTATTTATTGTAAACGAATGATATTGAGAAATATACGTTTCCATCAGGAATATACAATCTTGGGAAAAAAGACCACACATTGCTCAGTTGGTATGGAGATAATTCAATAAATTTAAGCTTTCATATATATTCCATTCATCAGATTCAGTGTTATAAAAGCTTTTATATCGACACCTAATTTGTTAGTGTCCATTTTCAGTTCTCTTCAATATCAAGCATTCTTTGGAAAATGTTTTAGGTTCAATAGACACATCTTTAATAATAACTAATGGAGTAATTCAAATATTTATGATCTAGTTTTTTTTCTAGCACTGTGATGTAATATTAAAGTATGTTTCAAGTCATGTTTGGCACAAGAAGTTCCGAGTTTACGGAGAACGACGTCTGTTTAAAACATCTGTAACCAACCCAGACTTGTATTTTTGCCAATTTCTGTAGTTTTGAACTTGTTCTTCTATAAATTCTTTAGACGGGTATGTTTGAATCTGAAAAGACACAACTCTGAATATTGTACATGAGCACTTTTCTACATCTTGCTACCTTACGTCTATCAACTTAAAAATGGTTGAGGTAGTATTGCTATTTTACTCTATGGACGTCTAAGTAAACATTTGTGTAATATTCTTAATATATGTCATTACCTTTCTGATATGTCTATAATGATGAAAGACAGGGACGAAAAGAAGCTTTATATATTTTTAGTATTTTTGTATTATTATAACTTTTCTACAAAACAACAAACTTGCTGTTTCTGCGAGTATGGAAAATAGTTTATATCGACATTGCAAAAAATAGAAACACTCATTGATTACCATATCTGTAACAACACGAAGAACTTTAATATTTGCTAGAGACAGGAAAAGCCTTTTGGAGATGAAAATGCATTCGGCGCCCTCGCTGACTAGACTGAGGCAAGTTGCTGGCTTCTGAACCAATGACTCCAAACCCTATTACCGTATACAAACAACTGTTTTAAAATTTGTTACAATGTTTGAGGGGTAAAATCTGAATTTGATCTAGTTCATGTTAAAATTTAAATAGTTAAGTACTTGTAATATAAGTTGCATTATTCATAAAGCAGTGGTGTGAAGATAAACAATTTATTACAATGATGCACTATTTATAGAAACATTAGAGTCACAGAAAACAACGGAGGACATATTATTAAATGGAAACAAAGAAAGGCAAAATCCTAATGCAAATGAAGTGAATGATTTTCTTTCAAGTAATAAATCGTTCAATTGAAACTAGACACAGATTTTTGTATATGGATAATATAATATAGCACAAGACTCACAAAAACCGCTCCACTTCCAAGTTCGGCAAGTTGAGCGTACGTATCTTTCTCCAAAGTGTAATAAGGGTTTGAAGACGCTCTGGATGATGTCGACCTGGCTGATAACATTCTTCGGTGTCCTATTAACAAATATGTATACAACAGCTTACATCAAATCAAGCTTATCGCCATTATGTACATACATCTGTACATCACTTGTTTTTAATTTCATTATAATTATAATAGTTGATGCAAAAACTATCATAGTTTTATCATAATCCACAATTATCTTATTATATAGATTATATCATACTGTTAAGAAATATGTTTGTAAATTACTACTGGTTAGATTGAGTTGATTTCACAAAAGGAAATATCTAGACCGGGCAGCGTAATTGACTTTACTTTACAATATTTAAAATCCCTTATAACTACAATGTGCAGTTATAAATTCAAATAAGTGTACATCTGATTAAACATATCTAATATGTCTGGCTAATACGTATCATGTTTATCATAAAATATGACACCATTACTGTTACAATGTCATTATATCGTGTTGCAAAAACTGTTTGAAATATTTTCTCTCTGACAAAAGACGTAATTTCTTCTTTTTATATGACATTGCTTATATTTGAAATGTTAAGTTAACGAATCGTGTTTATCATAACATTTAACATCTAAAGATGTCAATTCGTTTTACATGAGTAATTCTCTATCTGGAAGTATAATGAATTTATATAAGTCAGTTTATGTACCGTATTTTGAGGCAGATTTCACTTTTCTTATGTGTTGTAATCGTTTCGCCCAAAATGTTCCGGTTATGTCGGACATTAAGTCCTCGTCTGTCATCTGAAATGTCAATTATTTTCAAGTAAAATTGATCAGACATTTGAGTTTTTGACATAGATTTGCAATAATAATGATCTTTTGCGATGTTTTTACAGATTAATTTAATTACGCTGAAAAAATACAATAAACAAACGAAGAGAAATAATAATAATAAAACATATGATGAAGCGTCTTTAAAATCGCAGGATATATCAGTAAATGTTTTGTTTACTAGTATTACGAAAGATATGTAAAAAATGTGTTATTTAGTTATTGTAATTTCATGTCTACTTACTAATTCAGACTTTCTTTTTGTTGTAACAGAGTCAAAGAATGCACTCAGTGTCTTGCTCTTTACTAGAGGTGGTGGTCTAAGCTTCTTTTCAAAGTCGGACAAAGTGATCTATGATAATATTGTACATAATATTGTTAAAATGACAATAAAGTGATAATATAACACTAAAGTTGCTCACAATCTAAAAAATATATATGATTCGATTGTGTTTATTTCCTACGAATGCTTTATATACAAGGTAAGTAAATGAGTAACCGAAGAAAAAAAATTCTGGAAACAAAGTGATCCCTCGGAAGCATTAATCACAACAAAATTACATAAGAATTGCAGACTCGGTTTGATTGAGTCTGTACATGAGAGATAATGAATAAGTGCAACATCCCTCACGCCCCCTAGCACCGGCTTGAGCGGTACTCAATTCTCAACACTTAATAGTGCTGGCATCAATGATCCCAAAGGACCAGAAAATATAACATTTTTTTGCAGTAATTAAACGCGCACAATCAAAAACAAGTTCAATTTATATAAGATTTTTTGAGGAAACACTGTTCTATCAAAAGTACAATCTTAACATACTACAAAACAATTTTGACATCACTCAATCGTTTTATACAACAAAATTGTATCATTTTAGTGTACTTACACACGATTTTGGTCGTTGAACGTCTGGACCGTGGTCAGCCAACCGTATACGATCTATTTGACCGGTAAGGAGTCCAAGACAAATATTTTCCTTGAGTCTCTCAGTATCTGTTTCTAAATAATATATAATATGTAGATATATGAGCCGCGCCATGACAAAACCAACATAATTGGTTTGCGACCAGCATGGATCCAGACCAGCCTGCGCATCCGCGCAGTCTGATCAGGATCCATGCTGTTCGCTTACATACTCTATAACAAGTAGAGAAACTGATAGCGAACAGCATGGATCCTGATCAGACTGCGCGGATGCGCAGGCTGGTCTGGATCCATGCTGGACGTTGGTTTTTTTATTGCGCGGCTCATATATATTTATAATGTTATAACATAAATAAAAAGATATTTGTTATTATAACATGTTAACCTTTCTATCATTATAACTGTATGACATTATTTATTCAACAATTCACATAATTTGTCAAAAATGGTTAAAAGATCGTTATTAATCCACTGACTTGGCCTCCGGTGGGCGGACATTATATTCCTCCTATCATCATATTGTGGGAACGCGGCGTTTATTTCTTTCTGTGTTTTCAAGTTTCGCTTGCTTTTCCTAATTTTATTCTTCTCTGTATACATGCATATAACATTACACTTTCCCTAAAACACCAAAAGATATATATTTAGTTACTTATGAGACGAGACAACTGGGTTTTCACTTTGCTCCTAAATTCAAAATTCATAATCTTAATCGTGAAAACTAAACTCACTTTAAATCTTGAATTTTCCTTAACAGTGTCCAAAATATTTTGAAAGTGACTGGAGCTTTTGGTCCAATTCATTAATGTTGGCTTTGTTATTGCGCGCTATATAATTTATAATGTTATAAATAAATAAAAAGATATTTATTATAAATGTTAGTACGTTTTACATTATAACTGTAATGACATATTTATTCATACAATTCACATAATTTGTCAAAATGGTTAAAAGATTCGTTATTAATCCATGATTGGTTTTCGGTGGGCGGACATTTACCTCCTAATCATCAATATTAGGGAAGCGGGTTATTATTTCGTGTTTACAAGTTATCGCTTTGGTCCAAATTTTAGCATTATCTAACTGGTATAGTTAGTTTACCACTTACACCTTTCTTAAAATACAAAAAGATTATATTTTTAGTTACTTTATAGACGAGAACAATGGGATTTTCACTTTGCTCTTAATTTCAAAATTCATAATTAATCGTGAAACTAAACTAATTTAAATCTTGAATTTTCCTAATCAATGTCCAAATACAAATTTAATCAGTTACTTGTAATTTTCATCAGATGGCCAATAATTGCAAATTTTAAATTATCAGAGTATAATATTCATACTATATTATCGTGATGTTTAATGTTAGAATGTAGTGTCCTGGTAATAAAGTAAAATTTTTACCCTTCCATTATAGATTTATGAAGGTTGACTCAGACCCTTTATAAATCTGTTAATTGTCAGTCATCAGTTTTAGTTTATTTATTCGGCGTCCAATAATAAAATGTCCGGAATTCACATCCGCCGTCAGTTAAGGTTTATCAAAAAGGGTACTGTCTTTGTCAAGCTGAAGCATTCCTGATATTCCATACTTCGGTTCAGGGGTGAGAGGAACGACAATACTGGCCAGGCCATTCATGTTCGCATACTGACGATAAACAAAAACGCTCTCATTAGCGCCAGCCTCCAGATATAGTTGTCCACGACACGGTCAACCAATCACCTCTGGTACTTAAGATGACTTGACCTTGACCTGCCATGTGCCTTCTCCGCGACGTGCACGCCTCTGGAGGGATTTGGAGAAGGAACGTGCAGTATTATAAAGTTTTTTTTATAATACGTTTGTATCGTCGCTTTTCATTGGATAATCGTGACATGTATATAGATTTATATACACGGCTGCTGTCGATTTATGAAGATATCTTACTTTTTCTAAACAAAATGATGCTTGCTGTAAAATAAATTCGTTATAAAGATTCCTGACATGTTATATGGCCCTTTATTACCCTTCCAGATTTTTTTCCGCCTTTTTGATTGGATATTGATCACCCGAAAGAAATTGATATAACCGAGCCAGACGGGTAATATACGCACTAAATTTCCCCGTTGGGTACCCAACGTTGTAAACAACATGCGCTGAGGTGATGCGCGTACGGTTCGATTTTACGCGGTGTAAATTCCGATTTAAAAGCACTTTTTAACTGTCAAATGATAAATATTTACCAAAGTAAAGTAATGATACATATTACCATCAGTATCGAAAACAAATATGACCTTGTGAAAGCTTGATATTAATTACAAAAAAGTGCGTTCAATAGACTACTCCTTTTGTCTTGTTTACATTCGTTAAGTACGGGAAAAATACGTCATGTATTTATGTGACGTCATGTTGTGACGAAGAGGTAACCTAAAGGGAATCTTATTTCGACGTTTCATTTGAAAAAGCAATGATTTTTTAAAAAATCGTCTAAACTCGGCAGGGGAAGGGTAATAAAATTATTATTTTGGTTTTGGAGTGATATATGTGGATATATTACCTGCCAAGATAAAATATCACCCTCGCCTAACGGCTCGGGTGATTTAAATCTTAACAGGTAATATATCCACATATATCACTCCAAAACCAAAATAACATATAATATAAATGGCTGTTTGCAATATAACCCTCGCCTAGATAGAGCCATGTAACCTGTCAACAATGTTTATAACGGCTGCTGTCGATTCATGAAGAAATCTTACTTTTTTCTGTAAAAATGATGCTTGCTGTATTATAAATTCGTTATGAAGATTGTTGACAGGTTATATGGCCGTTTATTACCCTTCCAGATTTTTTCCGCCTTTTTGATTGGATATTGATCACCCGAAAGAAATTGATATTACCGAGCCAGACGGGTTATATACACACTAAATTTCCCCGTTGGGTACCCCACGTTCTAAACAACATGCGCTGTGGCGATGCGCGAACGGTTTGATTTTACGCGATGTTAATTCCGATTTACAAGCACTTTTTAACTGTCAAATGATAAATATTTACCAAAATAGAGTAATCATACATATTCTCATCAGTATTGAAAACAAATATGACCTTGTGAAAGCTTGATATTAATTCCAAAAAGTGCGTTCAACAGACTACTCCTTTTCCCTTGTTTACATTCGTTAGGTTCGAAAGAAAATACGTCATGTATTTATGTGACGTCATCTAGTGATGAAGGGGTACCCTAAAGGAAATCTTATTTCGACGATTCATTTGAAGTAGCTATGATTTATTTTACGAGTTAGGGGAAGGGTAATAAAATTATTATTTTGGTATTGGAGTGATATATGCGGATATATTACCTGCCAAGATAAAATATCACCATCGCCTAACGGCTCGGGTGATATAAAATCTTGACAGGTAATATATCCACATAATCATCAACCTAACTTACAATAGTAACGTGCACGTCTTGCAATAGGAACCTCGCAACGGCAGATAATTTACAAGCGTTTATGGTAGGACCATTATACCTTCAACCGTCTTAAAATAAGGAATCATTGTAACTTTCTGCAGTATATAACCGATGTCCCTGACTTAATAAGTGATACTTGGCACATATCAAAGCTAAAGCTAAAGATGAGGAAAGGTTTGTAACCTTATTAATGACCCTACTTACAGTTAACTGGCTTGTAAGGAGGACTTAGCTGCCCACAACAAACCCTTTTGCACAAACACCTTTACCTAATTTGTCAACAAGAATGTTACGTAGGATTTTTATTTCTATTGAAAGCCGTTACAGTGATACTTTTGTACTTCAAAGAATTCTTATCAATTAGTAATTAATTTAAGTGGAAATTGCTTGAGTAAATTACACCCAACTTGTGGGTGAAAATTTAATTTTTAGGCACATAACTATAGACATCTCCGGGTTCCCTTTCTATAAACAAAATAGTTGGCAATTTTTTTGCCGAAACGGACGGACCCTCAATTAAAGAAACCTATTATCCGTACAAAATTTGCACATAAATCACTTTCAAACACGCATAAATAACAAACAAATATAACTTGCTGTTTGCTATAAGCTTATCGACCTAACTGGTGGTTTTATTTTAAAATAGCGTTTGTATAGGATTACTAAAAAACACTTGTCCAAGAATTTTCAACTAGCATAAATTTACCTGTTTTAATTAATAAAAGAGGCACCTATTTTATAGAAAAGGATTCTTTGATTTTTAACCCTGTTTAAATTACGTGGTCCAAAAAGTTTTTTTAAACGTACTTTATTATATTACCACAGTACTTACAGCCTTAACTGCTATGATATATTTGGATTCTCTGCTGTCCTTCACAACTATATCACCCTTTCTGCAAAACACCCAGACTATTAATTATATATGTATCTTAACTGAACGAACAATTGTAACTACGTGATGGATTTTATATTTAAATCAGAATTGTAGTAAAGGAAAAGAGGTTTGATATCAGCGTGATAGCTTTTCCGAATAATACATTCAAACTGAACTGTAATATAACTCAATTAAATAGATTTAATATTGAAGATTGAATCTTGCTTAAGCCTACACATACAGGAGTGAGAGATGTTGCATATTTCATGAGTTCATATAAACATAATATGAGCCGCGTCACGACAAAACCAACGTTATGCGTTATGCGCCATTCGTTCGCTATCAGTTTCTCTACTTGTAATAGGGTTGGTAAGCGAACAGCATGGATCCATGCTGTTCGCTTACAACATGTACATACTCTATAACAAGTAGAGAAACTGATAGCGTGGGTGCGCGGTCTGGATTCATGCTGGTCGCAAACCCATTATGTTGGTTTTGTCGTGACGCGGCTCACATATTAAAATCTTCGAGGTATCACCCTTTCTATAAACTTTAAAATCTTATGAATATTGGTACACATTTTTGTTCACTTGAATACGTACGTACTTGAAAAAATGATAAAAGAAATACGCCGGATTATCCGCCAATTCGTCACATGGAAAGTCTTTGAACAAAGGCATCGTCCTAGAACACAAAACAAATAATAATTTCATTGTGACATTATGCTCATCCGACAGCTTATAGTGAGTGAACATGTGAAGTTTATATTTTGCAATAATTCTTTTCAATTTTTTTATGTTCTTTTCATTAACAGTAAATAACTCACGTTGCCCAAGAATTTCGCAATTGGGGCACTATTTTTATGAGAAATGGATTTTTCATGTTAAGAATTTTCCCTAGCGACTCGTTCGGTTTTCAAAAACATTGGGATAATCGACGTGGAAATATCACAATAAAAATTCTTTTTTAAATATTTCACATAAAGTTAAATATCAGAGATTTATATTATATTCTATTTGACACTAATCTACATTATCAAAGGAAGTGTACTGATATTATGTTATTTACAGGTAATTTAATCCCTGGTACACTGCTGTTCTAAAGTAACATACTGATGAGGGCTTATGTATGAGCATTCGAATCATTCTTAATTCAGTTTTATAATATCAAGTACTAAGACTTAATTACCACTTTAATGCATGCCAAATTATTGCATTCCTGGGTGAAATAAAATCACATGTATGAGCACATTAGCAATTTAGTATGAGAGTAGAAGGACTATATGGCTCTTAGAACTTAGTATTAATTAATAGTACTAACGACCAGTAAATTAAGAGTTCGGTGCTTTAATTATGACGCCAGTCATTGTACACATTTACAAATTAATAATTATAAGATTGTAAGAGATGGTTTTATTGTAATGTTTGTATACAAAGGTTCCTATGTCAGAATCGAAGTTACCAGAGTCTTTCAAGATTGAAAGACATTTAAAGCGTAAATGCAGAAAAGTTGAAATGAATTTCTTATATTCACCTTTGTTCCGGTTATTCATCAAAATACTAGCTTTTAAAACGTGTTTAATCCACTGAACTGAAACGATTCTTTATTTAATTTGTTGTTACTGATAAAATTATTCTGTAAGTACCGATGTTTGTTTTTGCCCTACGCAAAATGCCTATGACAAAAATGCTTCTTCCGTTTCGAAGGAAATATCCTTATTATATGTTAAGAAGTCTATGCTGTTGTTATCTCTTTTTTGTGTTGTGACATTGATATGCCTTAAACTTTAAATAAGACTCCAGTACTTTTTTAAACACAGATTTAGCAGACTAAGAATTAAAGACTTACTTGCAGAAGGTGACATGCTCATCGATTTGTTTCACTAATGGATTACGAATGATGCTATCAAAGTCCTGAATAATAAAATTACGCGAATTATAAAATTCATTTTAAAAATTTAAAGCATTTCACAAAAAACCTACAAATGTAATATACAAATTAAGTCCTGAAATCATAAGCTGACTGGCTCGATCGCATATAAATCTATACGAAAAAGTCCAAAATGTAATAAACATGTATAACGATGCCGAAAATAGTCGCGTCGCTTTTCCACCTATTTCATAAGTATTTTTGTAATTACATTGAAATACATCAAATTTCAAATTGTATGCAAATATAAAAGTACACGTTAATTACAGATGTACAGTGATCTATCATTTACACGCGATGAATCAAACTTTATAAACTTTAAGTGAAAGTTGCATCATATCAACATTGAATTAATGTGGAATTGATAATTCACCAATTGAGTATAGGGTGGCTTTGATAACAAATCATTTTAATATTAGCATTCAATAAAATTTATACATACGTCTTTCAAAATAACAAGCAGTTCAACTGTAGTTTTACAAACTATTGTCGCAGTTCTTCTGCTCTTTTCAATCAATGCTAGTTCCTGATATATGCAAATAAATATAGGTTTTAATTGTCAAGAACAAACGTAGCACAATTTTCTTACAACTAATTATTATTAAAAAAGTTTGTAAATTGACAATCCAATAATTGAAATATACTACATGTATGTCAAAATGAAAACATAAACAAATATTACTACAAAAGATGTACATGTATAATATTTTATTATTATTATTATTATTTATTTTCATTATCATACATTTATGTTTTATTTTTCAAATGGTGATACGCTGAAATTTACTTAATGCTTTTCATAAATCTATTTTCAGAAATAAGTTCTTACTATTTATTGAATACGAAAGGCAGACGATATCAATGGAAAACAGTCATCAAGGAAAGAATAGTTTTGAACATTTGTATAAGAAAAACAAAATTACTAATATAAAACTCACACCAAATGTGTCGCCAGGCCCCATTTCCTTCACAGTTTTCATAAATGTCTTTCCGGTTGACGGGCATACTTCCTTAACATTTGCAAAAACGAACCCGGATAAAACGATATAGAAAGCTTCAGGCCTGTGACCCAGCTTGAGGACAACTCGTCTTGCTTCATAGCTGAAACGGGCCAAATAAAACTTAACATAGACATATGTGCATAACTGCGAATACCTTTCATACATAAAAACTAGTTTTTTTTATAAAACACCATTCCTCGAAATAGGTTTAGATTTGACGAAAATAGAAAATCAGGATTTGTTATCATTATAATATATAATGTATGGTTTGAAATGTTTAAGAGGAGGCTTTTATAAGACTTTACATTCAATTATAATCCTGTATTGAAAGAATATTTATATCGCTTTGTATATACATGTATTGTAAATTTTAAAATTCTGAGAAATAAAATAGGTTTAATTTAAAATATTGAATAAGATCTATTTAAGTTAATTAACATATTTAGTGATAAGACAATGTATAAAATCGTATAGAAAACAGTATTTATCCTGCAGCAATCACCATTAGATATTGCAAGGTTAATACTTACCTTTGATATGTCATACATCGTGCTAGCTCAAACTGTACATGACACGGATAATCCTGGAATGATTTGTTGTCCCGCATTAACGCTAGTATCTGAAATCATTTTAAACATTTTAAACAGTTTCAAGTCACATCAGTGTAAGGTATGTATCTTCTGCAACATGCGATTTTCAGAGCTTTCACAGACAAGCTTGTTTGTTTTGTAACACATCCACCATAAGGTTCATTTAGCGACTTACCAGCTTTATTGGTGGAGAAGGCCTTTGATGCCCTCACGTGTACAGTATCAGACATGAGCTGCATTTCACGTATAAAAAGAAATAATGGCCTTTTGCGTACTATTTCGAAAATAAAAAAATAAAATTCTATGTGATTGTTACTGTCAGACATTAAAATAGGCATAAAACTTAAGAGAAGAATTTCACATAAACTTTGATGCGAAATTTTGTCTGAGAAATATCCCGAATGTTTTTGAATGTATTTGTTGAAAAGAACTTTTCTTGAACTTATAAGTGCAACTCTGAAATCATACACGATTTGACCATCTATGAACATGTTTTTACTATGTCTGCTTTCATTTTATAATTCAAATGAAGCAGGGATTAAAATGAATGTTTCACCGTGTGATTACATATTTGTCAGAAAAATAATAAAACAACAAGAATTGACATTCTGGCATTTGCATTTTGGCAGTGCATGTTTGATCTTATCTAAGATAACTTAGCTCGCCTTTGATTTCCTCTACATATTTAAAGATTCCATTTCTAATTCATAACCTTTTCGAACTGAACACAAACTTACTACTTTAACATCATGCGCTGTTCTTCGTGTAGGATCTATCAGTAACAATTTCTTTAGCTTTAATCTTTCCTATAAGATAAGAGTTTGAAAAAGTAAATATTATAAAATAGAAAAAGCTTCTATATTGTTCTTTCGAAAATATAAATGTATATGGAAACAATCCACCGGGCATTTAGACATACAATTATAGTGATGACTGTTATGAAGTCAAGTGGTCTTTCAAATAAATATGGTAGAAGAAATTATGTATTTTTAGCTAGCAAACTCTCATGGATAAGTATTGTCTCTTTACAACTTGTCTTATTTGAAGCATATCAGTTGTTGTATCATGTTTGGGGACCTTTCTGTTGAAAATGTGTCAGAGTTAAATCGTATACATATACATGCACAGCGCGTTAACTGGAGTGCAGGTATTAGTTACCCACACTCCAGAGCATGCCCATTGACTGGCTCATTTTTGCTGGGGTTTACTTATTGTGACGGCAGAGAAAGGGAAAGCGACAGAAATATCATATTCAGATGCTCGTTCATTGGTTCCTTTTTTCTGGGGTTTCATATGTTGAAACAGGGAACGTGTTTGATACAAAAGAGAAAGAACATCAAAACACTCGGCAATCTGATTTATACTCGGGGGCTACGCCCCCTCGTACAAATCAGATAGCCTCGTGTTTCGATGCTCTTTCTATTACTTAGAGTTCGGTAGGTTAATATAGTACAAATAATTGGAAAATATAAACAGAATTTTGATGATTTCAAGGGTGTTTTGTAACGATTACACTCTTGTTTGTGTTTTATGGTTTTTATCTTAATACAGTTATTTAATTCTAAATGTAAATTCAGTCAACTGGTATTTAAATATTGATCACATTACGTGAGCAAATGTTACACACAGTTTTGGTGTAATATTATACCGGTTCAACTCTAGCATAACTGTGTGGATTGAAAGCAACAAGTTGATTTAGGTCTTCCTTCACATGTAGGTACATCTCCATAAATGACCATGTCTTTGTCTCGTATTGCTTCACATACCTAATAAAGGTTCAATCAATTTTTATACAAATATGTTTCATTTTAACAAAATCATAGTTCGAAGTTCATCGTAGAATTACTCTTACGATTTTTTTTATTGAGAAGGCAACCAGGCTTCAGAATATACAGTTAAACTATTTTCTTTTGCCAACATCATTTACCCCTATATCAAATTGTAGAGCAATGCTCGTTAGTGATGAGTATAGTACTCTATTAAACAACAAATGTTGTAAACTATGATGAAGAATCACTTTTAATTGATATAATTATTTCATGTTTAATTTCTATGATCAAAGATATCTAAGAATAAATATAAAAATATGAAAAGTTAAATAAATTTGTACAACTGAAAATATGTACTGTATGGTGTTGTTATCGTATCGTACCTTTTTATATATATTATATGAGCCGCGTCATGACAAAATCAACATAGTGCCTTTGCGACCAGCATGGATCCAGACCAGCCTGCGCAGTCTGATCAGGATCCATGCTGTTCGCATACCAACCCTATTACAAGTAGAGAAACTGATAGCGAACAGCATGGATCCTGATCAGACTGCGCGGATGCTGGTCGCAAACCCATTATGTTGGTTTTGTCGTGACGCGGCTCATATATAGATTGTCTTACCTTTTCAGTGCAAGACAAACTCCAGAAATAATCCGTACCATTTTAAACACCCTTTTCATTTTCGCCAATGCCTTTAAATAAAATTATACATATATCAATAATTAAATCATTTGTTTTTGTTTTTAAATTAAAAAAAAAGAACATATGGTTGTCTCGTATAAATGGTTATATTTCTACGGTACTAAAATATTGCCAAAATAATCTGGAAAAGGGGAGATCCTTCGGAAGCAACGCCAACAACATAATTATATGAAACGTGCAGACGAGAGATAATGTAAATGTGCAACATCTCCCACGCCCCTAGCACCGACTTAAGCGGTGTTCAAAAGCGGTATTCAATTTTCAACACTAATATGCTAGAATGATTCCGGAGGGCCAAAAAATATAACAATACTGCAGTGAAGCACGGGGAGACTTTATTTCAAAAAGAACTGTACACGTTTTCATTGAATTGAGCTGAAGTTTAAGCTGATTGTATATAAATATATTAAAAAAATTGTTAACGCTGTTTTCTTTTGCACATAATGTTTTTGTTTTCTAGGTAGTTTTACGCATTTGCTTACTATTTAACAACCCTTGTGCTGGTGAGTATAAGATAATGTTACATAATATTACGTTCGTTGTTACTAAATATGTGTGTATAGGTTTACCTTAAACAGCTTGCCACAAACGTACTACTTTCAATGACTTGTTTTAAACTGGTCTATATAAACTGGAGTTGCATCTTTGTCCCTTAATATTCTATAGTATAGCAAAAGTGAACATTTGCCAGAGTCGTACATTAAAAAATAAAATATTTGACAAATGAAATGTACCAACCGTTTCCCTGTCCATGAAAACTTTTGGCGGTTTAATAGCAAGGCTTCCCCGCCTTGAGTTTCGTCTGCTCAAATTACTTTTCGAATGTGTTTTAATTGGCTCTATCTCTGATGGATACATACTGGTAGGATGAGTTATGGACCTTTCGTCTAGGGTTGACAACATGCCCCTCCTTGACCTGTCATTTCCAATCTCAAATCCACGAGAGAGTGTTGATCCAAGTCGTATTGAGAAATCTAGCTTGTCATCATTTGCAAATTGACTGTCAATCTTGCCGGGGTCCGGGAGATGTGGCATTTGAAGCGCATGTCGCCGGTTCGAGTTCTGCTCAAACGCTGATACCGAACGAATCATATTCATTATGAACTTACACGTGAATTTATTCAATCCGGATATAAGATTAGAATTCACCGTAAGCACATATATTACAACTTTTAATGGTATTCGAAAAGCCTATATTCAATTCCAATAATCGTGAGTTTCAATAAAAGTAACACCTGATGCATAAACAAAAAAAGCAAATCTAGCTGTTGCAAAGCATGAATAAATTGTGAAATGGATAATGAAATTTTCGGCTCTTGAAATAAAGATTTATTTGTATTTGCGTATGAAGTAAATGGTATGTTGATAAGTGGGTGGTATTGATAATTTTTTATTTAATTCTGTATTTGAATACCATGCGATAAGCCATTTAATTTATACCGGCGGTTTCTCTCTTTCTTCTTTAAGATCAATGCCTTTATCTTAATTTTGATAAAACTGTTTTTGGATTTACCGGTTAGTGTATTGAAATTAAAGCGATTACATAAATTTAGTGTCAATAGTATAACATTAAATTATCTAGATACTCTTAGTTTCTTTTAAATGTTTCTCCGTTTTAGCAAGTTGTTTAACTATTTAAGTGTGACAGCCTAAATGTTACGATGAATTTGTTTGTTTGATATTCGTATATATTTTTGCAGTATTTATGAGTAACTGTTACAACATACAATTGGTAGAAAAACAACTTCAAAGCAAATGCTTTGGCATACTATTATCAAATATATGTTGATAGAAATGTTTTCTTCGGGCTTTGATTTTATTGGTGACCAATTAATGAATGTCAGAAGGAATATAACATTGCATATTTCATTTGAAAAAAAGACAACATCATCATATTTCGTTTTTATTTCAATTCTGATTTTAAACGAAAACATTTAACAAAATATCAAAATAAATCGTAACTGAAAATGAGTGTGGCACTCAACGGTTGTGGAAGAGTGGCGAATACTGGATTACTTCTAGATGTCTTTTCATGATAAAAAATGACTAATAGCAAAATTTAAAAAAAAATTCTGTTAAAATGACAAAGGCTTGGTCTTTCTATATATTAACAAATTACACACTATGTCGAAAAGAAGTGTTGGGGAAGGCAATCGAGACTATATTGATAAGTTGTCGATCATAATTAAATATTATATGTTTGAAACCATACAAATGAATTTTAATTATTGTCAGCTTAATTCATAAACTGCTATTAGAATCCTGTGAGTGTCATACTAGGTAAAATATAAGGAGGCGCTATTTAACCGGAGTGATAGAGGATATTTGAATTTTTGTTGTTGTTTTGAATGTAAGATGATCGGAATATATTTCATACAGAATATATATTTGGAGTTTTAGGTTATTTTCTATTGCTTCCCCAGTATAGTATAATCAAAACGTAATACCGTCTCGTCGTGGCGAGCCGGTGCTATAAGAAATTAACCAAACGGTTATATGTCCGATTAAAGAGAAGTAAATATTACATGTGCATTTTATTACTTTGTATGTTTTACCTCCCTTAGGTTAAGAAGATATAAACATCTATCATTGTCGTATTTTCTTTCATATCAAAACTTTCAAACGACTTTACGAAACGATTACGGGTTTCTTTCATGCATTATCTAAGAAGTTTAAAACATTCATTTAAAATTGTTTTTGACTTTTGTTGACAATGAATTTCTCTTTTTAAAATGACTGACAATATAGTCTGCCCTTGCAATTTCGAGCTTCATGTTCTTAACCCCCTCCCTCCCCGAAAAAAATAAATTAATTGATATGTGTTCTATTTATTAGTTTCATTAAGTGTGAAACAAAGTGTGTTGTCTCGAAATTTGAGTTTCGGATTTGATCATTGACTTACAAATGATAAACTTAAAAAGCAAAAAACAACTTTTCAGAAAAAGCTAAAACTATCCTCTTCCGACAGTGCAACTAACATTAAGTAATTATTTGTTTGGGAGTTAGGAAAGTGTGATTTGTGTAAGAGGTTTAAGATAATTATTTCGTTTTTCTAACGGTTAATCATGAAAGGGACAGTAATCTGTATGTACTTCTTATTATTGACAGAGCTATTATTAGCCTTTGGATTTCGGGAAATTGATTTGTAGTCACCTGATAATTACCAATGTAAAAAAATGCAAACATTTCTTTTTCCGTAATTTTTTTATGATTACAATAAAGCCTTAAACGAAAATGCTGTTCTTTTTTGTTTATCTGTCGTACATCATTTTGTACAAATGGCACTTACAGTAAGAATGTTGAAATATCAAACTGTGCTCTTATTTAGAACTTATTGGCGTCCGCGCCGAAGCGCGGCGCTCTTATGGAATGAAATCAGATTTTGTGAAAGGGCGACAGCAACTTCTCGAGCCTTTTAGTCGGTCATAATAAAAGCCGATCATTCCGATCGGTATGAGGGTGCTTGATTATTAATTAAGATTGAAATGTCGCGGTGTGTTACAATGAATAGCGAACTGGAGAATTTCGCAATGCAAACATTTTCAAATGAAATAACCTTTTCCGTCAATAAATCGCGCTCTTCGGGGTTTTTTATTTATCATTTTGTAGTACACAGTGGGTTATCATGGTATGTTATTGTTGTACATGTATCCTAGAAAGATCAGTTGATGACCTAAATATTCCAAAAATCTATTTATAGATATATCTATTTATCACTCCTATCGGTAATTGCCGGTCTCGCCCGGTCCATTTTGACCGGGATTTACTAGTGACCGGCGAATAGTACCACACGTTTATTGTCCGGTCTCTCCCGGTTTTGGAGTAGATGTTTGATATCGTTACAATTAGAAAAAAAACAACAACAATAGCATGTTTCATTTTATCTATATGTGATAAAAACAATAAATATGTACACATATAAATCCGTGATATGTACAATAATTGAGAAAAAGGTACATTTTTATGGTATATAAATGACATTATCAACTTTGAAACATTTTATTTAATTTGCTATCCGTGTTTAGTAAAGATGCCGAGGAATTATTCAAAGTTACAAATTAGATTTTATGAATTATTCAATTGATTGATAATTTAAAAAATGATAAAGAAAAATACAAATGTACATGTACATGCCATGGATTAAAAATAAACAATATTATAAATTAAAAGATAAACCATAATTTACTGACTTTTTCCAGTTAAGCTTTGACTTATAATCGTCGGTCAATATGACAATTGAATTCTTAAAATTTATTTTACAATTTTAATAAAAAAAGAGTAGTAAAAACTCAGTATTAAAATAGCACATAAAACACAAAAAAGAAAAGAAAACAATATTCATAAAATTTGTATTTTTTTTTATTAAAATTAATAAAAAATTACAATTATTGTATAATAAACAATTATGCTCAACATGATCAACATGGTAACTTAACCAGTGTCATATCTTTACTAACTTAACGTGTGAACAGATACCTTAAGAGGGGTCTTCGCTAATAGCGAAAACATAACAAGGGACAATTACAAAGGTGTTGTACATGTTGAACATGCGTTACACATATGGATTATAAATGATTGCATACATGTATATCCGTTGCTAATAATAACCACGATCTTAAAGAAATAACAAGTAATATTCTAATCTCTAGCATGCCAATCAAAGTTCATAATGAACAATGTCTTTCGTCCGCTCATTCATAAGTGATATACATTTCTGGTAGTTTATAAGAATATCTTGTCATCATATGTGTACTAGTTCATCTTCACTTGCTGCATTTCTTGCTTGGACGCCCTTTGATGCTTTGCATCAATGCTTTTCTTGTCTAAATACTAGGATATATTTGCGAGAAAGGTGCAAAAGAACTATAAACACTTATGAAACAAAACACAAAAACAAACTGCTTTAGAGCTAGAAATTTATATATACATGTATGTAACTCGGAGAAAAAACAGTCATTGGTTTCCTGTAAAAGTCAAAAACACTGCACGCTTTGCTTGTGACAATTCCACATGATTTTACCGCGGGGTAATAAGCTTACTTTGAGACTATTTAGGATTCAAAGGATATAAACATAATGACATGTTTATCGATCTTCATTAAGTGCAAAGGACAGTTGCATCCGGAAAACCAATTTTATGTCCATGTGTTGGATTTAACTGTCAAATAAAGTTTCCGCTAATTTCGTCTCCACATGAGCCTTACTGTAATTTACTGACAGGCACCGTGGTATAAAATAATGAGACGTAGTTGAAGTTATATATAGATATCAGTTATGTTTCTTCAGTTAAATGTTTGCCCTTTTTCAAAGTTAAATGCTAATGGAATCAATTAATCAAGTAATTTAAGTAAAAAAAACTAGGACTGGTATTTTCGATCCTGTGAAACATTTACTATCGAAATAGAATTTTTGTAAGACGGAAGTAGTATATTTTGTACTGGTTTATGCAATGTAGTGTTCTTATTCTCCAAACTTGTCAGAATAATGCTTATTATAAATACTAGTTTAGAACTGTAACGATTTTAAGTACCACTACATAAACCAGCGGACTGAAAGTTTACTTAGCATAAATGTTTATATCAATCAGTAACTCCTGATAATCAGTGCTTGAAGAAAATAACATAATTTATTATCATATTAAGATAGTTTATTTGTATGCGTTGCTAACCACATTTCCAAATTCTTGAATATCATATTGGTTTATACAGAACTTATTTTGGTTCGATTGTGTAAGAAGCTCTAAGCTTATAGACTGTTCCTGGAACCAACCAGCACTGAGCTAGAGTGTAAAGTCTCTTGCGCAAGGAAACAACGACCTGGACCTGATGCTGCTTGAACCCATGCGGCTAGCGATCATTAGATTACTAGTCCGACGCGTTAACCACTCGGCCACGTCGCCATGAATATCATATTATAACACAGCTTTATAGGAATACATTTATTTTATTTGATTATGAGCTTCATGAAACTAGATTGTTGTGTTGGATTAATGAATCATATAATTTGTGCACAACCCACAAGGATTTAAACAATTACTACTGAATGCAAATGAAAATCACAGACGGGATAATAAAAATGTCGAATGGGATGGTCTTTGCGAAACATGTGATGTCTAAAAAATGAAGGCATGTTCTTGAATATCTATATTAAAGAAAAGAATAACAATACTGTCTTATAAGCGTCACTTGAGTAAAACATCTCTTTAAAAAGACAAAAATAATAATGTCAAATAATCCGATTTTATATTTATCATTTTCTATACAATTTTAATATTAATTAAAGCTTTAGACATA